CCAAAGGTCACAGCCAAATAAAAAGCTGAACAATAATTCATTTTTAAAAACAAGTAAATACTAAATTAACAAGTCTTACACCACCCTACAGTCCATCTCCACCATCGTGCATCCTCCAACCTTGTAGGTGACTTTTGTCCTTTGGAGACCTGCCTCCTTTGTTATCCTTCCTGGCATAACTTCAAAGCCTTGCAGAATCTGCTCCTTTTCCTGTCTCATCAGATGCAACTGTCTCACACAGCTACTCTCCCCACACTCTCCCTGCTCTTATTTCTATTGTTTAGACTACATGGCTTTTTCCTATTCCAGGACCTTTACACGTACTGTTCTTGTGTCTCTCTGACTTTCCATGCTGCTAATTCTTCTGATTCACTCCCCCTTCTCTTTTCCTCCCTGCAAAGTTAGCATGTCTCATCACTGCCTGCCCAAAAAGTGCAACCCAGAGATCTAATTAAGGGTAAAAACAATGCAGGACCAAAGTGAGGTGAGAATCCACTCTGCTGCAGAGGGACAATTGTTCTGTCCTCATATGCACACCGCCCCTTTCTCCTCCAGCCATCAAAGGGTCCTTGTTGTTCATCCAAGGGTTAACAGTACCAGATGTGAGATGGATGGAATGGCTGATTCCCAGTGGCCACTTCTCCCTCTTCGGATGTCACCTGTGAGCCAAAGGGCTCACTGCGCTGAGGCTCCCTGCTGTTCCAGGCAGTAGGGGAGGCTCCCTAACTTGTTAGCCAGGGCCACTTTCTGCCCACACCTTTCTCCTCCTCACTCCTGCTGTCCCTCATTCCCTCAGGACTTCTGACATTGCAGGCTCAAATTTCTCCCACCCTGAGACTCACCTCCACTCTTCCAGATTCCTTTGCATACAAACTGACAGGGCTCTCTGCTTCCTTTTGAGCTAAGCTCAGAGTCCTTATCCAGGCTGCTGATTCTTGGCCACCCAGCCTTGTCTCTTGCACTGCAAGATGGCCTTGACATTTCCAGTGCAGATGCTATGATTCCAACGTCTGTTTCTAACCCCCAACACCTCCCAGTGCCAGGCTTCCTCATCCTTCAGCCACAGGACTGAGTCTTGTCTTCTTCATGAGACTCTTCCTGGCATTTTTGCCAGCCTGTAGTAGCCCCGTGGTCCATCTCTGGAGAGATAAGCTAACAGCACCTCCTGTAGCTGGGAACTGAACGCCTGCTCTTCTCCATGCTTTAGTCTTATCTCCTCTTCCAGGAATATAGTTGATGTCTAAATAAATATTTGATTGAATTGTTGATTGTGAAAAGTATAACGATGAGACTGTAAAAGGAATCTCAATATATAAAGCTGACATGCATGTGTGTGTGTGTGTGTGTGTGTGTGTGTGTGTGTGTGTGTGTGTGTTTTCACAACAAGAATTCTCTCCACTTGCTTGGGGAACATTCTTAGACATCATGCCTTTGTTCCTCCAGTCACCTGTGCCACTTGAACTATGGGTGTTCTGTCCCTGCGCCCAACCCCTGCTGACTGGCATGAGGCCCAAAAACTGCACGATGCTCCCTCCTCTGGCACCAGCACCTTCTGAACCTATTCCTGGTTCCTTCACAGAGTGCTCGTTCCTGGCTCTGAATCACCAAGGCCAGCAGTGTGCAGGGAATGAGACTGTGGAGAGAGACTTTGGTGGGCTGGTGATAACAGGTGCTTCCTGGCCTGATTCAGCCATTGTCGGAGCATTTCAAGAAGAGCAGAACTGGCTGATTCACATGCTTGGACAGAACAAATGCTGTAAGCACGGGGGCTGGAGCTGCTTCCACATCTCCAGTGCCTAGCACACCATCAACACCTGATAAATATTTTAAGAAATTAGTGTGTGCACACATGTGCAAAAAGGACTCCAGAGAGGCAGAACTGAGCTCCTGAGGACAAAGACTTTCTAACATGTGAGTTAGTGTGAACCTTACTTGGTCGTCTTCAGCCATGATGACAGAGTGTAAACAGGAAGAGCTGAAGCCACTCAGGAATGCTCTACCCAGAGCATCTAAGAAGTTGGATGATGCTATGCTGTTGGTTTGCCATCAGTACAAACAAGAGCCAACATTTACTGAGGTATAGCGGTTACCAGCAAGTCATATCTTATTTAATTATAATGAGTCTCAAAGGTTTTTCCCCTTGAGGGCTAATTCAATCCAAATAAACATCTACAGAGCTCAGCAAGCTAAAAGGATTGGGAGAAGGCAAAGAGGGAAGGAAACACAGGCAAGGTCCCCACCTTCAAAGAACTCTCTATTCAAGGAAGGAAACTGAGGCAGAAGCAAACTAGATTTCAAGGCAGAAAAACATAAAGAATGAAGGAGATTCAGCCAGGGTTGGTGGTGCACACCTGTCATCCAGCACTGGAAGGCTGAGGCAGAAGGGTTACAAGTTGAATCTTTTTATGAAACTATCCTGGGCAACTTAGCCAGAGCCTGTCCCCAAACAAAAAGGACCAAGCACATTCTTCCGTGCAAATGCTCTGAGCTCACCCCAGTACCACAAAGGCAAAATAAAGAGTAAAGAGAAACACACACACACACACACACACACACACACACACACACACAGGTACAAGTAAAAAGGTAGTAAAAAAGTTTGGGGACAACCCCAAATCACATTTCTCCCTGGATGGAGTGGTGTTGTATCTGTTCTTTAAATCTATAGCTTTTCCTCAGACAAAGACAGGAAAGGGCAGATCAGGACAGACAGAGCCAAGAACTTTATCACAAGTGATATATCAGAAACCAGTGTCTCAGTTGACACACAGCTGAGTGCCCAGGGGGTCGTGGTTGGGGTAATTTTGTGCCAGTGCAGTATATTCGGTGATGGGGTGGGTGTTTGGATTTTGCCCTATAGGCAATGTTGGAAGTAAAGGTAGTATTTTATAGAGATAATCCTTGCAAAAACACAAGCTGGAGTGGAATGTGTTTGGTCTGTTTGGGTTGCTATAACAGCACACCACAGATGGGGCTGCTTACATGCAACAGAAAGACACTGCTCACAGTTTCAGGAGCCAGAAGTCCAAGGTCATGCACGGGCCTGTTTGGTGCCTGGGGAGAGCTCACTTCCGGTTCATCACACACTTCCTCGCATAGTGGGCGTGGAGAAGGCAGCTCCCTGGGCCTCTTTCTTGGGAATATGAATGCCATCCATGGAGGAAGGGTCCACCCTCATAACTTCATCGCCTCCAAGCATCCCCCCTGCAAATACTCTCATGTTGGCGATTACATTGCGGTGTATGAATTTCAGTGGGGCCTCGTAGCCCTCAGGTTTCTCACTGTGACTGGTCACAATACCCGACACCCACAATTTAAAGGAGATGTTTAATTTTGCTCATGTCTTAAGGGAATTCAGTCCAAGGCTGAAAAACCACAGCAAGAGGGCAGGTTGGAGCAAAGCTGCTCAGTTCATGTCAACCAGGAAGCAGAGCAAGTGACCACGCCAGAGTGGATAAGGCCAGGGAGCAGACTTGGTCCCAACGTCACCCTCCATGACACACAGACACACTGAAACGCGAGCTCCCCTAGCCCCAGGGTGGATCTCAAAGGCAATCAGATTGACCCTCCACCCTAGTAAATGCCACAGACAAAAATATTCCAACCACAGCAGAGAGGACGACCATAGCTAGCATTCACTGAGTGCTCACTGTGCTCCAGTGTCGCTTCTCAGCAACTGGCATCATGTCTTACTTCCCCAACTAGTATAGGAACAAGTTCAGCCATGGTCCCATTCTGCATACAGGAAGTCTTTGGGAGGCTAATTAAGTCACTTACCTGGATGGCTATACATCCAGTCAATGGAGGACTTAGTCCTGCCTCAAAGTCTTCTCTAGAGCCACTTCTAACTGTCCAGATGGCACCTCTCGTCCAAGCCTAAGGAGAGCTTATTATATCATATCACTGCCCAGGGAGACCATGAGGGCCTGAGGCAAGGCTGCAGAGATGGAACTATAGGAGGCATCATCTCCTACTGCCTTCGTGTGAGGAAAGAACAACACGGGTATTCTCACGTGTTTTTACCTCCATGAAGGTGCCACAGAGATGCAGGAGAGACCAGTGAAGGTGGTGGCCACCTGTGGGGGACAAAGTCAGGGGCAAGGGACAGATGGGGATTGGAATGGGGTGATACACCTCAATATTTGTCTTCTAATGTGGCTCTTATACTGACCCAATGAATGCTTATTCATTCAAAAACCATGAGATGATATAAAATAAAAAGCACAATTTACAATCAAATGTAAAGGGGCGATGGAACTGCATAAAAGTTGCTTAGATTTGGCAGATATTAAAGGAGACAACACAGGCAAAGAAATCTCTGGGCTGCCTGATCTGAGAGCGGAGAAGACGGTTCACCCAGCTGGGAAAGCCCCACAGAACCGTGGGTCTTAAGTTGGCCATGACATGTCCAGGATTGTTTGTGGATGAGTGCGGGCACCAGGTATTGGATGTCAACTCTACAGAAGCCAAGATGGAGACCGAATGGTCCTGCAGGGGAGGGACATTCAAAGGAGGATCAGAGAGCTTCAAGGGGAGGGGAGGCCTCCTGGAGTCTGGTGGCTTGGGATTGAGAGCAGGATGGTAGAGCTGGGGACCTGAATGCTAGAGAAGAGGCACCAACAGGGGTGCTGAGCTGACCCAGCCAGCCCTGAGCTCCTCTGTCCACTGCATAAGAGACGAAGCATGTAGACACTGCGGGTCCTACCTACTAGCCATTGTAGACATCCCGTTGCAGGGGTAGGGCTGCTTAGACAAAAGACTTTTGTAGCTGAGTGCCTAAAAGGGGGAACAACTAAGGCAGGCCTCCCTGGAAAGTTTCTCTGACTTTCTGTGACCATTCCACTCAGGGCCAGTGGAAGCCTAGCCTTTGATTTTTTTTTTTCACTTTTTTTCTCTTTTCATCCCACACACCAATGGAAACACAATTCTACACAATGCTCATACATGCACATGCACACACACCCACATGCACACCCCTCAGGCATCAAAGGACTCCTCTGGAGCCCGTATTTTTCTGATCCAGCTCATTGGGATGGAGAGAAAGCAGTGCAGAGGAAAAGAAGGAACCAAGCAAGCCACCCTAGCTACTCTTACTCCCCTTTAAGGCTGCCTGGTTACGGTCCTGGGAAGAAAACCCCTGCATTCCTCCCCTTTAACTGGGCGTATTGTGAAGGCATTGGAGCAGCTAATCCTCACAGACCTGTAGGAGCTGGAGAGGGAGCACCTGGAGCCTGCTTCTTGATTCTTGATTCTTCCGAATCTGAATCCCTGGGTAAGGCGAATTTACTTCTCTCCTCCTCCTCCTCTGCAGCAGCAGCAGCAGCAGCGCAGCGGGGCTTTCCTTCCCCAGTGAGAGGCACTCCCGCTTGGAGAGTAGGTTTAAAGAAGCACTTTTCTGAGCGATTGGGGCACTCATTCCTGTCTGGCTGCCTTGATCTCAAGGGTAAGTTGTAGCTGAGAGGGGTCTGTCTGGCAAGGCCTTCCTGGGCAGCTCTCTGGCTGATGTCTCCTGCAGGAAGCTTTGCACTTTGGGCAGGGGGAGCGAGCAGGGGAAGGGTCTAGTGTCCTGGGTGGGTGTCTGTGGCTCTCGCCCCTCCCCTGCCAGCCCTTTTCCTCCTAGCCTCCTGACCCCATCTGTCAAGCAGGGAGATGCCTGCTCTGCCCACACTCTGGAGCACTGGGAAGAATGGCAGCCGCAGGCAAAAGGAGATTGTAAACAGCCACAGCTCTGCACAGCCCTAAGGCCCATACCACGGGGTCCCCGGCCCTGGCCACCCATGGAGAGGCACAGCAAGCTACTGCTGTCAGCCACAAGACAGTGCCTCCCCTTCCGCAGCGGCAGCCGGGTGGTCTCCCACCCTGGAGTCTTTAAACTTCCCCCATGTTCTCTGGTAGAGATGTCAAAACAAGATCTGAGTTTGCAGCACCACCCCTGTCCACACTGTGGCCCCTTCTCCCCACGTAACTTTGACGCACATACATTAACTCCCAGGTTCCCAGAGGTTCCCAGCTGGCCAGAGCTGCCTGGCTGCAGTGTGCCTGGCCAGTCTCTGGCTGCAGAACCAGATAACACGGTGCTGAGGAAAATCTCTGGGAAGACTGAGGAGAGTGGAACAGGTTCAGGGTGGGCAAGGTCAGGTGCCAGAGACAGAAGCAGACCCCTGTCATTCCACTATTCCAAACTCAACCAAGGCCGACAAGAAACAGGCCATGACAAAGTGCTTCGTAATACCTGAATCACAATTTACAGTTTGCAGCCTGCTGTTCATTCAGCCTCTTTGATGGTCTGTTGGCTGGGGAGGGACCTTGACTCTTTCCCCCTTAGTGTGGAGGCCACAGAGGCTTGAGGGTTAAATTGTCTGTCTGGGCTTGTAAAACTGGACCACACTGGTATGTGTTTGAGGGTGGTAGCATCTGAACCCACATCTTCCGGTATTTCAGTGACCTTTGCATGATGATGCAGACAGCTACCACATGTGTGCCTGTGTGCATGTGCCTGTGTGCATGTGTGTGTGTGTGCATGTGTGTGCAAAAACTTTTGGAAAAACCTGGGATCCAGGGAAAGATTTGAACTGAAACCCAGAGAGGCTCAGGTACTAGGCATGGGGTCCCCAGCCTCATTGCTAGAACTTCTGCTCATTCTGGGGACTCAGCCAGGGCACACATGGGGAAACCAGTCAGGTGTCAGGTTACAGAAGAGCATGACAGGGGGTAAGTGGAGGTGATTGACTGTGGCAGGGGCCACTGCCAAGAAAGAGGCAACAGGTTATGAAGCCCAGGGACAGAGATCAGAGTGAGCATTGGAGGGACTGGGGCTCCGCACCTTATGCAGTATCTTTCTGCCTGCTTGATTTGGGGCATATTTCCTGGCACCTCCACTACACAATGCGTTTACTTGGAAAGGGGGTGGTGAAGCTTACCTGACACATTGAGCACCCAGCACAGAGCCCCACCCCAGTGCTTCTGGTCTGCAGCCACAACACAGCCAGGCTGGAACAGAAAGCCCCCACCACGACCAAAGGCAGGTGCTTACACACACACACACACACACACACACACACACACACACACACACAGCCAGAAATAAATCGCCAGAGGGAGAGTGAAGTACGTGCATCGGCGGCACCCAGCCGCAGGCTGCCAGACCTGGTGGTGGAGTGAATGAGCTGCTGCATGAATGAGAGGGGGAGCCGCGGAGCCTGCACACCGGCTGTGCCTGGTGCTACAACCACAGGCGAGCAGCCGCGGTCAGCAGAAAGCGGCCAGGGCCAAGTGCGCCCCCAAGATGGGCGGTAGTGGGACCAGGCCTATGCAGGGGTCAGAAGCATCAAGCCCAGGTCACCAGAGAGAGGCTGGGAACTCAGAGCTCGACCTTGAGCTCAGGCTGTCCCTCTTCCAGCTTCCTCCCCATGGGACCCTGCTGTTCCCCGGCCTCAGTGCAGTGCATGACTGAGATACTTAGTGGGAGCGAGCTCTGAGATGGCGCAGGGCAGGTGTCTACTACAGCCACAGCTCGTGGCACCTTCTCTGCATGACTCTCAGCGACGCCTCAGCAAGGTGCCCCTTGGAGACCCGGGATCCCTCCCGTGGTGTGCACAGCTCTGGTTCCTTGCATTCAGGGCTGTGATGCAGGAAAATAATGTCTTTTGGCACTTCAGGGTCTCCGTGAAATGAATCCTCACACAGTCAGAGGCCTGTAGGACCCAGGTCCTGCTGAGAGGACAGCAGAGTCACATCTCCTGCCTGCCCCTCACTTGAACTGCAGTTCTTTCTCTTGCTCTTACCTTGGTACTTGATGTTTAGTTTACGCGTCTGTCACACAGGCCCACCTCATGGCTCTGTGGAGGCCACAGACCAGTTTTATGCTCTTTGATGTTTTAACCTCAAAAATAATGCTGAGAGGTAGAGCAGGGATCATTATTGCCATTCTGCAGATGAGGAAACTGAGGCTAAATATGGCTAAGAGGACTAGAATACCTGCTGTCTCCACTGACTCCTGTGCCTTGGTCCCTCGGCTACCAATGGGCTCTGGGTGTGCTTTCCCTTTCCTTTGCAAGGAGCACACAATAAACCTTAGGCAATGCTTGAGTTCCAGCTTGTTACTGCAGCAGGAGTGACGTCTTAAACTCCAATGTGGGTCTGCACCTAAAATAAACCTCAGGAGGCAACTTAAAAACCTTCTTCCTCAGTTGTGCGGTGACCAGAAATAACCAAGTTTCTAGAATGGAGGAGGAGCAAGTGACTGGGGAAAGCAGGGCAGGCCAGGCCTGGTTCTGGACACTGATGAGAAAGTGTGTTGCAGGCACACAGACCTAGCATGTCCCTGTGATGCCCTGGGGATGGCAGGACTGTAACCAACGGGGGCAGAGTGTGGCAACATCACGCGTTCCTCCAAATGTCAAACCCCAAAGCTAGAGATGACCCAGTCTGCATTTCCCAAAGGTATTCTCTGAGGAACCCCAGCTCCCCTGACTGCTAACTGGTATAGAAAAGGGAAATTTCACCATCTATGACAGTTGGGAAATGCCAGGTTAAGCAAAGGTCTTTAACAGTCCTCAGAGACTTCAATAGTGACTGTGGGTCACGGATTTCTAAGAAATCCACCCCAGCCCATGAAGAGTGCCCCAATCTGATAGACTTCAAAGGAATGCTTTATAGAAAGAGGAAAGATGATATTCAGAGACATGGAACAACCCTTTGTGCCAAAGCCATACTAGGGCCAAAGCCATGCTCCTTTCTAGTGTCCCCGCAGCCCAGTGTGGCCAGAGTTTAGGCAAGGAAACTCCCGCATGTCAGCCTTCACCCCATTGCCCACCCACAAGGCCCACATTGCTGTGAACCATGCCAGGAAATAGCATACCTTGTTAGTAAAGCAGGTCCGGCTTGCAGCCTCCTTCCCAAGGCTGCAGACCCATGCATTCGTTCGCCTGGAGTTTGGGAAGCCCTGGGCCAGGAGCAGAGTGTGTTCCTGCCCTGACTCCTCAGAGATAGTCACAGAGCCAGGTAAGCTCAGGAACCAGGGATGCTACCCCTTCAGCCCTGTGATTGGTGCCTTTTTGCCCGGAACCCTGACAGGGCCATTGCAAAGGGGCAGTGACTCCCCCATGGGCAGGCCTGAGCCTTTATCTGGGGTGTAGGAGTACAGAGGCTAGGGTTAGGGGAACCCTAGCCTACCTTGCTTCCCTTGGTGTTTCTGCCCAGTTCAGGGCTGCTACTGTTCCTGCCGATGTGTGCTCTGGACTGGACTGGACTGACAGCCTTGGAGTATAAGGCGATACTTGTGAGAGGCCAGGATACCATACAGGAAGGCTAATCCTGGTTCCTGTAATGAACGCTCAGAATGAAGTGGGCAGGAGTGAAGGACTGGGGAGAAGGTTCGGGCAGACTGGCCTCCGAGGTGAACTGCTAAAGTATGTGATGGCAACAAAGGGGCCCCCATGAACATGGCGGGTGTGCTGCGAGTTCTGTCTGGGACCAGGGCTGCTCCTGAGACCAGTGGCCTGGCAGGAGAGGAGAGAGGAGTGTATGGAAGGAACCTGTGGGGGCTGCCTGCCTCGTGGGCTCCTGGCCCAACCACCCTTCACCCGCACATTGTCAGTGAGGCCAGCTGTCATCAGGATCAGACGTCTCTAAAAAGATGGAACGCATTGGCTTCGGGAAAGCTCCACCAAAGCCACACTGCCTGCCGTGCTCTCTGCAGCTTGTGTCCAGGTGCAGTTCCCCGAGAGACCAGGAAGGCCACCAGTCAGTACCTTGGAGCGTAAGTATGAGCAGACAAGAGGCCAGGCAGCACCCTCACCATGTGCAGTGCCTTCTCAGGGAGGAACCGCCTCAGACGAGCCAGCAGCTGACTGCAGGGTGAAAAGTGTGTTCCACGGGGCAAGCTGGCTGGCTGGGGCAGACGGGCTGACTCAAGGAGTGAGACAGGGCTGAGTTTCCCATGACGTTTTGCTGACCAAAGGCTGATCCCACCCAGGTCCTCAGAAGGATGATGTCTACAAGGTGATTCTACGCACTGCAGCCATTCCGCCCTCTGGGCAAAGCCTCCCAGCTCGGACCTCACAGAGGGGCCCTACCTCTTAGGTATTGTGACACATTCCCTGGAGAGCACTGCAAAGAGAGCTTTCATCCACCCTTCTGGCCCAGCTACAGCCCAGCACAACCACAAAGCCATCCCTGACCAACCTCCTCCAAGGTCTTCCTCAACCTCATCTAACGTGGGCTGAGCCTCTGTGTGTGGGACATGGGGACAACAACTGGGGGTTCAGAGTGGAGTGACACGGCCCGTCCTTTCTGCACACTGCCCACCTGTTCATCAATGTCTGTGCACTTACCCCTTGTCTTTCCACCTTGACTATAAATGCTCCCAAGGGCGAGCTTGTGTCACAGGAATGTCAGTGTTTAGTCCAGGGGTAGGCAGGAGGAGCTCGGCCAAAGCTGGTCCAATGAACTGGGAAATGGTCCCACGAGAAGGGCTATTTTTGCAGTCTTCATGGGCATCTTGCTGGGCTGCAGAGTGAAGGCCTGAGCCAGCCTCCACTGTTCACCGCACCCTAGCGCTACCCAATAGTCAGCCCTGCATCTGAGAAGTTGTGAGCCCCGGCAGCCCAGTGGAAGCCATTACTGGAAATAGAGTGAGAGGCTGAGTCCTGGAGAGAGCTGTACTGCAGCCTGGGATTTCTCCGAATTTGTTTCCCTCTTCTCTGAAAAGGCTGAGATTGCAAAGTCTAGAGAGGGAGGAGGAGAAGGCTGTCACAGAAAGAAGCAGGATGCATCCAGGGAACAGGACTGCCCTCTTGGACCTACCTAGAACTCTCCACACCAGCAGGGGCTTTCGGAGAGAGCAGCTGGGAAGCGGAGGTAGAAAGATCTCAAGTTGACCTCACCTTAGGCAACATAGCCCTGTAGGGACACACTACCTCAAAAACAAAATATGAAAAAGGGCTGGATGTGTAGACTGCTGCAAAGGGGTCGGGGGAGTCACTGGCAGGTGTGGTGCTCAGATCGGGGTTCCAGAAGCTTCCATACCGCACTTATAATGAAACTAAGTGGTTAGGACCCAGTGTGTGGGAGGCGGATGGGCGGGAAAGACGTTTTCTACGGCCTCGCCTCAGCTAAGAATACTGTTTTAAAAGCTATTTAAGAGAGATGGGACAAGAAGGAACAAGGAGTACAGATCCCATGGGGCCGCCAAGAGCAGCGTCGTTCCGCGGGGTGCCAGCAGAGGGAGCCAGCGCGCCGGATCCGCGCCTACAAGGGCATTGTGTGGACGCGAGCCCAGCGAGAAGAGGCGCAAGCGACCTGTCCAGTGTGTGCCCTGACCCCCGTCCTGGGGGGCCGCCCAGGTGCGGTGTGTCCCCCAGGAACACGCCGTCCCCGGACCTGGGTCAGCCTAGGCAGCCCCTCCACACCCTGAGAGGCTGAAGCAGATGGGTTTCGCTTGGATTTCCCGGCCCAGTGGGCTGGGGGCACACTTGCTTCCTTTTGCCCAACACCCTGAGAAGTGGAAGCAGCCAGAGTTGGGGCGCGAATCTGCAGAGTGGCCTCCAGCCAAGCATATCCTCTGCCCCCTTGAGAGCACCCTGAGGTGCTGGGCGGAGACTCACAGAGAGAAGGTTCCAGTTCAGCCTGACCAATACCTGTGCTCCCGCTGATGCCAAGCCATGGAGGCACAGATTTCCCTATTGTTTGGGGACATTAGAAGGCCCAGGGATTCTGGGCACCATAAACAACACCATCTGGGATCCCTGAATAATGCTGCTGCAGTAGCAGGGAGCCAGGACAGAGCATGGAGCCTCCCTCTACCTCTGCAGCACCCAGGACCCGGGGAAGGCCCACTCGCCCCAGATGTGTCTCCTGGGCCACATCCCAGGCCCCTTCCACTGCCCCCTAGAGTTGCCACTCAGTGCGTCCCAGCCCTCCTCCTCTCCTGACTGCCCACTGAGCCAAGCTGGCGGTTGAGTCCTAGACATTTGCTCTGTACCTGTTTTCACACAGCAGCTGGCCTCTCCAGAGGTCATCCAGAGCTGAGCCTTGCAGTTTATTCCTTCTGCAGGAGATGCCTTAACATATTCTGTTTGCCCGGCGCTGACAGACTGCCCTGTCCACCTGTCTGACCCGTGCGAAGGGAGGCCTTCCTGTTCTGCCTTGCTTGTGCGCTCTGTGTCTGCACTTCTAACCACAGACACATGCGTCGGCGTGCTTTCTGCCTGTCTCCTTTATCCGGCAGCCCTGAGAAGTTGTCCTGAAACATATGCAGCACAGGGCACAGCCCAGGTGCCAGCAAGTACATGTTGACTGTCCAAGATGGTGACTCCCTGCCGTCCTCCCCATAATCCCAACACTGGGAAGCCACGGCAGGAGAAGCATAAGTTCAAGCCCAGCCTGGGCAACTTAGGAACTCATTGAGACCCTGACTGTCTCAAAATAAAACATGAGAAGGGGCTGGAGATGTAGCTCAGCACAAAGGCCCTGATTTCACACCCTGTACTACAAAAACATAAAAAGATAAAAAATAAGAATAGAATAACTTCGGAACTCTGACACAGAGTTAGGATAGATTCAGTTCAGGTTCCAGGGAGTAACTATTTGCCTGCACTGCATGGGATGCCGTGGGAGCCACAGAAGCAGCACAAAGCTCATTCGTTCAAGCTGTAACAAGTAGGGGAGCAGCAAAAAGATGAAGGGGTGAGGCAGTGCTGGGATGCTAGTGGTGAGCCAGGCTGCTGGGTAGTCTGGTAAGCATCGTGGGGATGGCATGGTGACATAGGAGGCTTTCAGCTCCTGTCCCCTGGAGGCGGTGTCCCCATGTGAGCCTGTATGTCATCCTTCTTGAACGTGCTGGTTGCAAGGTAGGGTCCACACCAAGGGGCTCTGGCCCCTTGAGCATGTGGCGCCATGTGGGTGTAGAAGAGAGTCATAGAAATGTGTCACAGGTGTTTTCAAATGCAAACGGGGCCAGGGTGGCGATGCATATCTGCACTCCCAACACTCCAGGAGGCTGACCCTGTCTCAAAACAAAACAAAATAAAATGAAAACAAATAAAATAAAAAGGATTGGGGTATAGCTCAGTTCAATCCCATTCATACCCCCCCACACACACACACACAGTTTAGAAATAGAAGAAAGACTTATTTTTCCAACTGTCCAAATTTTACTCCCAATCTTTGCTTTTGGCCTTTGCATAAATAATGTATTTTAGATTGTTTGGAAACCCTGTTCTATTACTGGAGAAATTAAAATGTATTGATTAGACCTTTATTTTTCTCCTCCTTCCGCCATCTCTCCCTCCTACCAAGCGACCCCAGCAGTTTCAACTCTGGAGGCGATGGGGCGAAAGGAAGAAGATGACTGCAGCTCCTGGAAGAAACAGACCACCAACATCCGGAAGACCTTCATCTTCATAGAGGTGCTGGGCTCGTAAGTCCCGAGGCTGCAAGGCCCTGCGCCTGGCCGGCCTGACCGTGGGCTGTGGTGGATGAGCTGGCCAAGGCTGAGGAGAGTCAGTTCCAGTAGCTTTAAGGGCCCTGTGGAAAGTGGCATGGCCTGCGGGGCTGGTGAACGGAGCTGGCGAGGCGCAAACCCACGGGGACACCAGCCCTTTCCTCCGGCTCTGCAGCCCTCCAGTGCCTTTGCCTGGCCCCCACTACTTCCAGATGTGTGATAACATTCGGGTTCCTGGCCCGGATCACAAAAGAGCAGAATGGTGGGGAGCACTTCTGGAGACTCTGACCCTAGAACTTTCCCAAGCATCCCACCCGCTTCTTCCTTCCTTCCTGTCACCACACTAACCCTATTTTCTGGTGTAGACAGGTGCACTTTAGTCTTTCAGCTATGATGTCCAAACTCCCGCAGGCTGCAGGGCCTGGGGCAGTCCTTTGACAGCAATTATGTGACTGGAAGACCCAAGAAAGTCTGTCTAGAGCTGCTTCTCCACATAGCCAAGCATCTCCCCCAGGAGGCTGTGTCTCTGCTCTCTGACGTAGGCTGCCAGCCACAGCTGGTCAGTAAGCGCCTGGGTGGAGAGAAGTGCTGTCTGTCCATATAGGCAAGTTTTTTTCCAGCCAGCTCTGGCTAAGTGTAGCTCCACACGGCCCTAGCCAGGAAGCAGTGACCTCAAATACAGACAGAGAGGACCCGGGCACGGTGGAAAGAGACCTCTGCTCTCCACTGGCCCACAGACACAGGTTGGCAGGCTCTGCACACACAGGAGCCACAGTACTGGTTATCAGCATGCTGGCCCCCTAGCAAGAGGCCTCTGACAAGACCGAGTGGCTGGAGAGAGGATTTCAGCAGGAGAGACAGGCTCATGAGTGAATCAAGAGTGGTTTGCTAATCATACCCCAAATCAAGGGAAGGAGGAAGGAAGCCTATGATGACAAGAGCATGTCTGTCATCTGCTCAGACAACTACTATCAACTTTGAGGAGCCAGACACACCCCCCTCACAGTGCTCCATGAAGTCTGCTGCATACCTGTCTAAATCTAGAGGGATAGCAGGGTCATAGGAAAGCCTGCCACCGCACCCTCTGGCCCTGACAATGTTAAAGCATAACAAAAAGCTGAGACAGTAAGCCATAACAGTGAGCACCAATATTCCCCCCACCTAAGCCTACAGTTACTAACATCTCATTATGCAGTCAGCCCCCCACATCCTCCATTCTGTATCTATGAATCCAACCAATGGAGGATCCAAGGCACTGGTGGGATTGGGGGGGAGGGGTTGCATCTGGTCTCAAACCTGCTGTACTGAAATTGCTTTCAGTGGAGCTCTCAGGACAGTGGCCAAGTCACAGCTGTCATGCAGTCAGGACTGGACGAGGGTAAAGAAGAGGCTCCTCTCCAGGACCCTCCCTTCGCACACCACCTCTGTGCTCAGGAGGGAGACAGGCACCCCCAGGCCGCGGGTGCCATGGTTACCAAAGCAAGGTGCAGGGGGAGACCAGCAGCTGGGGAGAGCAGGTGAAAGGAAGTGCCGCCAAGTCCTCCTGCCCTTTCTGATCCACATCGCCTTGGCTGTTCAAAATTAGTTCTCTGCTCCCCGCCTTGGCAATGGAAGGGTCGAGGGCCCTCTTATCTGCTGCCTCTACTTCCTGCCCCCACACACAGCATGTAACTAAAGTGGCCCAGGGCAGAAGAATGATAACACCTTCTCAAACTGCCATAATTGTGCAGCTCTAGGAGGCACCATTCACATGCAGCACAGTGTGAACCGTGTTCTTCCATTCGGGCAAACTGAAGGCCCTCATTTGGATGTCACTCTCCAAAAGGACCGAGTAGGTGTCAGCTTTGAGACCAGTGGGCCATCCAGAGTGGTGGGAGGCAGGAAGAACTCTGGCGGTGGGTTCTAGAATGCTATAACTGGAAGGAATCTTTGAAGCCACACAGCTCGACTTCCATTGTATCCATTAGGAAAGCAAAGACCAAAACTGAGCCAAACACACAACTGATCCCAGCTCAAACTTCTCATCCATTGATCCCTGACATGTATGTTGGGTGCTTTCCATATGCAACCTGGCACAGAACTGGTACCCATCCATAACCGTCTTCTGTTATGCCGCCTCATGCTTCATAAGCCAGGGTGTCCCCCTGACCCCTGTTCCACACCTTTATGCTTTTCCTCTTGGCTCCTCCCACTCCATCTGAAACATCTCCAACTCCTGTCTTTACTCTGATAACTCATTCATCCCTTAAAACTGAGTTCCAAGCTATTCTTAAGTCAAAGAGCCTCAAGTCTTGTGTCCCATAGCTATCCCAAATGGTCGCTTTGTACAAGTTAAGGCAAACATGTCTTCTCCTTAGCATTCTGTCTGCTGGGGAGTGGGGAATTGTAACAAGTATCACATGACTACACACAGGAAATGAATCTTCAAGATGAGGGACATCTGCTGGCTTCGGGCGGTAGTGTCTGTTTCTGTAGTCTCGTGATACCCTTCTCTATGTGTCTATGTGTCATCCTGGGTTCTAAGCTAAATAAATTCTCACCCCAGTGCCAGACACAGGTCCCAGTAGCTCCACAGACATTCTAGGAGCATCTGGCAGCTGTTTTCGAATCCAGTCCTATTGCTTACTTGCTTCTGTTCCTCCTCAGTCTGTGGGCCCCTTTGGAATGGAAACTTACTCACCTTTTTGTCTCCAGACTCCACAGAGGCCCAGGTGATCTTGAGGGAGAGGATAAGAAGCAGGGCAGACGCGGAGATGGAGCTCTGATGGCTCTGATGAACTCTGCTTTAAATGCATCCTCTAGGGAGTCACAGGAATACCCAGACCCCCAAAAGGCCAAGTGTGATCTAATGTGAATATTAAAGTCCTAGAGAAGACTCAACTGGCCTTCACCTTCATTTTAGACGATCTACAGGGTAGGGAAGAGAACAGCTGGGCTCTTCCTCATTTAGATCCTGTCCGTCCTTGTACCACTAAGTGATTCCTCCATGGGCACTCCAGTAGTGATTATAACAAGGGGACAATCTAGTGCATTTGGTTTAATAGAAGTTGGGAACACTTTTAGTACTTTACATGTTTTGGCTCTTTATTCTGAAGAACTACCCTGATGAATCAGAGATGATCCATATCCCCATGTTTCAGATGGGGAAACTGAATATGTAGAAGTTAAGTGACTTGTCACCCAAAGAACCAAGGTTCTGATTAGACACTCAAGCACAGCCTGTGCCCTATCTCACCTGCTGTTCTTCTGGGTCCACAGACAGCCTGCCCCAAGCTTCTAGGCGCTGTCATTAGGCTTTACGGGTCCCACGCGTAAATGAGGATGCTGGGTCCTTTGTGTCTGAAAGTTGGTTTGGGTCGATGATCACCATCCAAAACTCACAGGCTGCATCTGAGCCTCTCCCCTCATGCCTCTGTCCCTGCCGCCCCAGTGGGCCACACTGCCCCTCATAGGGGTGGACTCTGCAGGAGCTTCTCTGTAGAGAGGAAGCCTCTGCAACTGAAACAGAGTGTTTGGAAGTTGTCACAAAACTATGCAAGTAGGCAAAAATCCTGCCTCACCCCTGACTGCAGGCCAGATCCCTTCCTTCCCATAAGGTCTGCAAAGGAAAGGATACCTGACATGTCAGACAGGCCCTGCCACCCACGGAGCTCATCCTAGGGAAACTCCTTGTCAGCTATACCTTCCTTCAGCCATCCCGTCATTCTGTTTCCAGAATGGTTTCTACCTCACCAAAATGTCCCCTACCCTGCCAGAATGCTGTCTACCACACCAGAATGCTTCCTCCGTACCTCACCAGAACTAAGTTCCTTCTCTTGGCATCTTCCCCTAGAGGAGCTTTCTCAGAAGTGTTCCTGGTGAAGCAGAGGGTAACTGGGCAGCTGTTCGCTCTGAAGTGCATCAAGAAGTCACCTGCCTTCCGAGACAGCAGCCTGGAGAACGAGATTGCTGTGTTGAAGAAGTGAGTGGGTCTGGGGTGGGTCACATCCTTCACAAATGACCTTCCAGAATCCCTGAGCTAGAGCTCCATGTGGGAGCCACTGCTCCCCAGACTGAGCTGTTTGGTCTGTAAGCTAAATTTAGTCAGACAGATGTCTTGGCTGAATATTTCTCCAACTAACTGACCAGAGAACTCACTGTGGCAGAGCCAGGTCGTGCTTGTGGGCTAGAGGGTAATTAACTCAAAGGAACAGAAGTCAAATGGCCATCAGGAAGAAGTAAGAAGAAGAAGATGGCATAAGACTTGGAAATAAATCTCAGTTTTGTCCAAGCAAATGTAGATTCAGCACCCCAGCCCTTATGGTAGAGACCACACTGGCAATGAGATTCTTACAAAGATCCCTTATGGAACTCCCCGCTGCACCAAAGGCTTGCTTAGCACTTTGACAGGGTCAGGACCACAAGGACAAGGCAGACAAAGTTCCATGGTCTCAGGAGCTCCCATTTCCCAGGTGCAGGTCCCACCCCCATCTGACACAAGGACCAGCAGAGATCACCCTGGGGAGGAAATAGGGAGGCCTCAAGAGTGGCCCAGGAGTGCAGACTGGGAGCATAGTTTCAAAGAAAAAGGACTATGATGGATGAGCTGTGTAGAAGGGAGCTCAGCTGAGAGTAGCACACATGTTTATTGGCATTGTGGAAGTGCAGAGACTTAGGGGAAAATGAGCATCAGAAGTTCCCTGAACTTGGAGAGAGCATCAAAAGATGGGGGATGAAGCTAAAATGTGAAGAGACCCTGCTTACAAAGGTACCATGCTAAAGAATGTCGACTCTTTTCAATGGGTAAAGAGAAGTCATCAAAGAATTTTAAACAAGCTGGGGATTTAGCTCAGCGGCATAAGCGCCTTCCTTGCAAGCAGGCAGTCGTGAGTTCGATCCCTGGTACCGATAAAAAGGAAAAAAGACAAAAAAAAAAAAGAATTTTAAACAGGACTCAACTGGACTAGTATTTCAGAGCTGTCCCCGTAGGCATGATGGACATAGATTGGAGGAGACCAGCTGAGAGGGTAGGAGACCTGTTACAAGACTTTCATAATAATCTAGGCATGGGGTGAGGAAACAGGTGGAGGAGGCAGTGGCAGTATTGTGTGGAGCCCAGACAACTAGCCTAAAAAGCATTTCAGAAGGAAGTGAATGGCTTTGGAGTCGACCAGTAAGAATATAGAGGAGAAATGTATTCAAAGTTATCCTGACTGAGCACACATCCAGTGAGTGGGATGTGATACCATTGCTTAGGAGAACAAAAAGGATCAATTTGGAGGGAATGGAAAGAAATTGGATGAAATATATAAAATATATATAGAATATATAGAATTTAGATATCCATGTGAAACATCTGGAATACACATAGAATATATAGAATGTAGTTATACACGTGTCTTTGTAAGGAGGATTTAGGACACCGAAGACTGAGATCCACACTCCAGGAAGAGTAGGGTGGAGATATTATAAAATCCCTGAGAGCAAAGACTATGGTATCTCAGCAAATATTTCTTCAGTGAGTGAATAATTAATAAAATTCATGTTGGCATAGGTGGCCCACGAGTACGGTTGAATTGATCAAGCAACCACAGCAACAGTCTGTGATTTTAAAGTATCTGTAATTGGACAACTACTATGATGTGTTGGCTGGTCCCCAAGCAGTGGAGTAAGCATTTGTAAAGCACTGTCTTTTTTAATACTGATCTAGCCGTATGAGAGAGATGTACTTTTCTTATGAGGAAAATGAAGGGGCTTAGAAGATTTGAGAAAATCAATTCTGGTTTCCCAGTGAATAAATGTCTGAACTGGATCTGAACCCAGAACCAGATGACTCAGTGTAAATTCTTATTTCCTGTGCTATGTAACAATGAGAAAAAAATCCTAGAGAAATTCCCACTCCACAGAACTACTACCTGGGAAACCTGGCCCTTTTATTAACATGATTATTGTATTTGACTCAGTCTCCAAGGGTGCCACAGGGTGAACTCAGGCAGGGATTCCTGATCGCAGCATGATGACACTCTGGGCCATCTTGTTCCTCATGGTGTCGGGCTGTGTGTTGCTGAGAATTTGGCTGCATTTCTGCCTCCAGTAGCATCCCCTGTAACTCCAAGAGTGACCACTGAAAATCGCTTTACTTGCTGCCAAATAAAGGAGCGAAAGAGCCCCCTCCCCCTGGTTGAGAACTACTGATTTAAGTTACCAACAGAAAATAAGCATCTTCCTTGTTCTCACAATATCCTAGAATTATAAGTTTTCAACACTTTCTCCATAGTTACCCAAGAGGGAGCTCGGCTAACTGAGCCACTCGTTCAATAACTGGGGATCTTTTCTCTGGGGTTATGTGGTGATAGCCTACTCATTAGACAGGCTCACCAGGGACTCAGTCTTCCTACATATTACCATCAAAAGTGTCCAACAGGAACTCTGGGGCTGGCTTTGCATATCTTACTGTGACACTTCTTCGCAGGATCAAGCACGAGAACATTGTGACGCTGGAGGACATCTATGAAAGCACCACTCACTACTACCTGGTCATGCAGCTGTAAGTGAAAATGGGCCCATTTCCTCCCAGAGTCCTCCACGCTCAGAGTTTTGTCAGCAGTGAGGGGAGGATGACAACAGACAAAACTCAAGAATTAGTTCAAGCAACTCCAAAACACTTTAGTCCATTTATTATCAATACACCTCTGACCACTGGCATAGTGTGGTAGGGAAGTCCCAGAGTAACACCAAGGGATCTGAGACCATGTGGTAGCTGCAAGTGGCCAGAACAACAGAATTAGTACTGTTACTCTGTGGGCTAACAGGAAGCAAGGAGGTGGGAGACTTCAGTGACATTCAGGAGCCACCAAGCTGCTAAGAGTGCCATGCTGCGACCTAGGCCACCCATGCTCTGGACTTCAAGTTCAGAGCTATGGCCTGAGAGTCTTCCCCATAGACCTCCAGCTCCGATAGCAGCCGGGCACTCAAAGGCAAGAAAAAGAGTGCAGAAGGTGTGCATTTGGATGGAGAGGTTTTATGCCTTCATCACTGCATGGTGCAGCCACAGTTAGTACCAGGGGACAGTGGGCAGGGGTCGGGACCACCAGAGGCCCACATGGAAGCAGTGCGGGAGTCTTCATCCAAAAGAAGAAAGGCCGGGACTTGGGAGAGTGTATTTGAAAGATTCATGTGAAAAGAGGTTTCTCTTGTTCTGCTGGAAGCCACTACATGGCATCAGGTTAAACGTAAGACAGAAATATGACTCAGATGTCGCAGATGAAGCAGCCCATCAGAGGAAGTAGTGAGTTCTCTGACACTCTAGTGTTTAGCACCAACCAAGAAACTTCTAGGCAGACATCGTGTAGCTGGTAGAAGGATCCAGGGTCTTCAAGCTGCTGAGACACATTATGTATGAGTCTCACAGCACCCCTGCACGCCTACCTGTAATTCCCACTTTAGGAGCCCAGCTCTCCACAAGGACAAAGATAAAACACAGTTAACCTCCACTTCATGCTTCTCTTTCCTACTGCACTGCTGTCACCTTCCTCTCCTACCAGGGCTCCCTGTGTCCAGGGATAACTAGCTTCTGAGGCAGCCCCCAACCAAGGCATTCACAGTTTTAAAAAACTATCCAGAGATAGGTCCTGCTTGGTCCCAAGTTGGGGCTCCCTTGTCATACCACCCCACGTCCTGGAGAAGGCACTTGGAGGCTAGTGTGGTCCCTCTTCCAGCCACAGTACCTGGCACCTGCCTGGCCAAGGCCACCTGTATTCCCCATGACTACAGGGCAACACATATGCTTCTCCACAACCTGAACTGAGAAACCTGTTCCTGTGCCTGCAGTGTTTCCGGCGGGGAGCTCTTTGACCGGATCCTGGAGCGAGGGGTCTACACAGAGAAGGATGCCAGTGTAGTGATCCGGCAGGTCTTGGCAGCAGTGAAATACCTCCATGAGAATGGCATCGTCCACAGGGATTTGAAGGTGCCAGGGTGGGGATGCTCACTGACAAACCAATCATGACCCTTAGGAGACCACAGGGACACTGAGGAATCAAAGCCCTGCAAACTGTGGGGATCAGATCTGCCCGCAGATTCCTTAGATTAAGCCAGGAGTGGCTGAATAAGCACTGTTAATTTGCACTGTAGCCTTTCCCAAATCTTTCACTACGCCTTATCCATCAAGGTACTAAAGCATTTCCCCCATTTCAGAACTCAGCCACAGTCAAGTGCAACTAATGCTCCTCGAGGGCCTAACAGCCCTGGCATCACCACAGGCTTTGATGAGATCAGAGGTCATGAACCAAGGGCTGATTGCCTCAATAACCAGACAGTCCTGAGGTAGCTGTGGTGGGGAGGGGTTGCAAAAGTCACGGCACCCTGGGGTACACGAGGGAGGCGCAGACAAGAGGACTAGAGATGAGTCCAGAGCCCAAGGCTCACCTTGTGAAAGTTCTATGTTGAGGAAGGATAAGAGCTCACACCAGGCACACGTGGGTTCCCTCCTCCTGCAGCCTGAAAACCTGCTGTACCTCACCCCTGAGGAGAACTCGAAGATCATGATCACAGATTTTGGACTGTCCAAGATGGAGCAGAGTGGCGTCATGTCCACAGCCTGCGGGACCCCAGGCTACGTGGGTGAGTCCAGGAGCAGGAGAGAAATTGACATCACTACCAGAGAGGGTGGCTGTGAGCAGACAGGTCAGTGTCAAGGGCCATCCAGGCAGAGCGTCCACCTCGGAAGCTTAGGGCCAGCCAATTCAGCTTTCTCCAGACCCCTCACCCGTGTGGCTCCCAAAGCCTGTGTCTAAAGACAGACAGTCCCTTTCCCTCCACAGCCGCCACCACCACCTTGACCACTGTCACTCCTGCAGCCTGTGCCTTTGTCTCTCAGAAGACAAGATCTCAGGCTCAGGTCCTCTCGGGAGAGTGGAGCAGGGCTGAGCACTCACCCTGCTCCGCCCACTCTAGAGACTTCAGCCCCAGATGTGGGCAACCTGGCAGCTCAGGCCGGGAATGTGGGCCTAGACAGACCCCCATCCCATGTGTACCCCCAAGGAAGCACACAGAGGGCTGGCAGAGGCAGGCATCTTGCCTGAGCTGCCCTCTGGGTTCCTGGCAAGGTAGGGGAAGACAGGGAGCCAAGAGGAGTTGGTTCCTGGCTCGAGGAGAAGCTGGACATGAGGACCTCTGCCTGTCCCTTTTCTCCTGGCCAGGCGCTGCCTGCTTGGAATTGAGGTGTGGGAAGCACAGCCCCAGCGCAGGGGAAGAAACCTGTTTGCTCTCTGAAAGGGCAGCCAAGCACTCACCAGGAGAGTTGCAGCGGGTACGCAGCTGGGTATCAGGACACATAGGTGTACTGCTACTGCCCAGGGCAGCCAGTCAAGGCCATGCCAGACTAAGCGTCAGTCACATTTGGGAGCTCCCACTCATATCTGGAGCTCCCCCAGTCTGATGGGAAAGACACACGCTTGCCCTAGGGGCCACTGTCTGAATGGAGTGACAGGCCTGGTCTCAGAGAGCGCTCAGTCCTGTTGGGGGCACCAGCACTGGCGAGCCCAGCCTGAGCAGCGGGTCTTCCATGATCAAGTCAGTCTCCAGCAGGAAGATTTAACCCCCAGGAGCGCAATCCCATAGAAATGTAGCCATGCCGAGGGCCACCCCGTCCTCTCAGGCTATTTTCACCCTCAGTGCCCTCTGCATCTAGTCCTCTCCTCTTGCTCCCAGCCCTAACTCTGTCATTCTTCCGCCACAGCTCCAGAAGTATTGGCCCAGAAGCCCTACAGCAAGGCTGTGGACTGCTGGTCCATCGGCGTCATCACCTACATACTGTGAGTGGAAGTCGGCATTGCCTCTGTGCCTCAGAAACCTCAGAGCCTGCTTGCTGCTTCTTCCAGCCACTGCCTCAGCACAGGCACACACGTGTGCACACACATGCTCACACACATGGCTCCAAAGCTTCCTGCCGAGGCAGAGCAGGGCTCCATATGGGCCCCAGGCAGCCACCCAACCCTCCCTGACCTGCACACCCACCTATCGTACACAGATGTGCCCAGGCCCAGGAGTGGGAGGGAAAGTCCAGGACAGGGTTGGAAACCAGGGGACCTGCTGCCCCCATCTCAGCTTCCTGCCCTGGTGACCTCAGCCCAAGGCAAAATCAGGGCACAGATACAGAGAGTCAGCTCCTCTCAGCACACCCCTCTCTCATCCTCTCCTAACCCACTCACTGCCTCTTTCCCACATCTGCCTCATGCATAGCAAATTCTTCCAGTAGACATTGGCCCCTTGTATGGACTTGCCTCTCTGCTTCCTCAGTTTATATAGAATAATTGCTCTCACCCTTGCATTTATTCAATACGTGTTCAGACTTGGTGTCGGTCTTTGGTGCCAAAGAATGAACCACACAAATAAATTGCTCGTGACACTGAACCCAGGCCCTTAACACTAGCTACACCCACATGTCTTTATTTTATATTTTGAGATAAGATCTCCCTAAATGACTGAATTACTCAGCTCGGACTGGACCTTGAGGTCCTCTTACATCATCCTTCCAGGGTGCTGGAATTAGCAGTGCACCATTGCACCCAGCTTTCAACCATCCTTCTGAAAGATACATTGTACCTACAGAGCATCTGAGTACCAGGAAGTGCAGGGAGAGGTGCTGAAGGTTTGGGGGAGTAGGGTGCAAAAAGGCCTTCCTGGGAAGCCTGCTCAGGTGCCGGCTCCTGCCCCTCTGGCAGGGCTCCTGTACCACTCCTGCAGCAGAAGCAGGTGCACCTCCTGGCCACGCTGCTGCCTGGGGACCCATGTGCACAGTAGGGGTGGGGAGGAGAGGGGCTCAGTGCAGCTTCTTCCTGTCTGCTGCAGGCTGTGTGGATACCCACCCTTCTACGAAGAGACCGAGTCTAAGCTGTTCGAGAAGATCAAAGAAGGCTACTATGAGTTCGAGTCTCCATTCTGGGATGACATTTCTGAATCAGGTACAGCAGTGGGTGTGAAAGACAAGATAACAGGCCAAGGGATGACAGAAGCAGACAGTCCTGGCTCTTCAGAGTCCCTGGTGAGCCAGCTGAACCCCTGCTGGTAGGAACACAATCACCCATTCAAAGGCAGTGGAATGGTTGGCATCTGAGGGCTACACTGCAGTCTTCCGAGAGGCTGAAGCACAGTATGGCTGCAGGCAGAGAGCAGGTAGGAGAGAGGTCAGCAGGGCAGAGTCAGGGGCCGGGAGGGCTCCAGGCAGGAGCTGCAAACGTAAGGCTCAGAAGCCTGCACAGAGCACGCGGAGGGGAAGGCGGGGAGACAGCACATTGCACTGTCAAGTGCAGATCACAGGTCAGAGCTGGAACTGGGCAGCGCTCACACGTGTGCCCACATGCAGTGCTGGATCATGTACCGGTGCAAAGCATGTGCACGTGGTGTGCAGGCACACCGGTGCCTCGTGAGCAGTGAGGTTCCCGCAGCGCTGTGTGGGGGAGGCTGTTCCAGTTCCTTTCCTGGATGGCTTATGGTGGGTTGTTGGGTGGTTTGGAGGTTTTTTTCTCTCTCTTTTTAAAACTCTTAAAATTGCCTCTTTGGAGGATTAGCTAAAGATGCACTCACCACCACCCACCAGCCCAGAAGCAAATTTCCTTCAGTCGTGAAACCTGGTCTTAGCTGTCACATCTCTGCTTGTTCCCCTTAGCCAAGGATTTTATCTGCCACTTGCTGGAGAAGGACCCTAACGAGAGGTACACCTGTGAGAAGGCGTTGAGGCACCCCTGGTGAGTGAGGAACAAGCAGGCCCCAGGGCTCAGCTCCTGGCTCCCGCCCCAGGGTGACTCCCTTAAGTGACAGTGCGCCCCTGACTATGACTGTACTGGGAAGCATGCACCGTGCACCGGGGCCGAGGGGAAGATGAGGCAGGAACCGCAGGGGACTGTCCTTTGGGTGGGCATCTGCCCCTATGTGGTGCAGTGCTCAGTGCTGCTGACATGAGGACCCTTCTCCTGTTCCGAATGTCATTTTACTCTAAGATCAAAACCTGTTCTGTGTGAAGGGATTGAAGAGCAGTAACTAAGCAGCCAAGTGGTAAAGGGTGAATTAAACCTTGAAACACTTTTCTTTCACGCTGCTGCCCTGTTGAGGAATTTGCAAGAGCTCCCCTATTCCTATCAGAGCAATAGGTCCTGACCAGCCTGGCATATGAACAATCTAGGCTGTGACTGGAATCTTAGTTTTAACTTTTGGCCAAAGTCTGAGTTGTGACCCAAACACCGGCTACATGTGCTTCCAGATAATCTCAGACACAGACTTAGCCCTTACAGAGTTCTGAAAGGAACATGACAGCATCTTTTCCTGTGTGGGGTTAATTGAGGCATCCTGGGCAGGTGTCTAAGGACTCTGAGCTCCGCCTATAGACATGAGAGGGACTTTGAATGCTGTGTAGAGAAGCCTGAGCCTTTGGCGGATGACCTAAGCTGCAACCAGCCCTTGGGAACAAGTTGAGTTCCTAAATCAAGGGCCCACAGTACCCCAGCTTTCCAGTCTGGCCTGGCCCCTTACCTCCAGTGCCTCCCAGTATCTCCCATGCACCTTCTCTGTTACCAGAGACCGATGGCTGCATTATCCTCCCTGTGCTCTGCACGCCACATACCAAGCTCTCTCCTCACTTCACCCTGGGTCATATCCTGTCCTCCATGAGGATGTCCTGCCTCTTGCCATCTGTGTCACTTCCTTTAGGATCCAGATGCTTTCCTCAAAACCACTGACTCCTGCAGTCCATGCAGACCTCTGTATCTCTCTCTGTTAATAAGCTCTATAAATTTCTCTAGTCCATGGCATGGAACAACCCCACACACTCAGACTGAAGGTTGGTAGGCATGGGGCCCATATCGCTCACTTCTTTGGGTCCTTTAGTAGCTATCCCAGCACAGAGCACATGGCAAGTGTCTGAGGGACACTTGGAGACAGGTGAGTAGGAGCTCAGGGGAGGTAAAGTCCAGCAGTATCTGCTGACCTTGCTGAGGAGGCTTTAGAAGAGCTGGCCTCAGGGAAGGTTTGAGTGAGAAGATGGTGGTGACACTCATGCCCTGGGATACAGGCTCAGCTCATTGTTTTTGGAAAAGGCATGGCCAGCAAAGTCATGCTATCTCATGGCAGCCCCTCAGCTGCTATAGCATAAAAGTGGCCTCAGAGTTGAATGGATCACAAATGACTGCATTCCAGTGAAAACGTATTTGAAAAACAGACAAGTAGGTTTGCCCTTTGGGCCGTATCTGCCAAACCTGCTCTTAATTATTTGGTTTTGCTGAAGCATAAGCCCACCGTGACCTGCCCAGGGCGACAGAGAAACCATTCCCTACTGGAGTCCCCTGTTCCCAGAGCATTCCACTCAGCTCTGACCTGATCCGGTACACAGCACCCTGCCCACTCTTGGCTGAGTGTTAACCTCCCAGTAGCCAGAGTCTCTCCTGCATCCCCAGGATTGATGGAAACACAGCCCTGCACCGGGACATCTACCCATCCGTCAGCCTTCAGATCCAGAAGAACTTTGCCAAGAGCAAGTGGAGGGTGAGCCGTGCTCTGGGGCCTGTGGGCAGGGATAGGGTAACAGAACGACTTCCTTCAGGGCATCCTAGCTGACAGCTGGGCTTGTACCCTCTCTGAAATGATGAGGGGTGTGCAGGCTTCAAGAGACACAGGGAACCTGGTACAGTGATGCACACCTGTAATCCCACCTACTTGGGAGGCTGAGGCACGTCAGCCTCCGTGTTCAGTTCAAGGTCAGCCTGGGCAATTCAGGGGGACTCTATCCCAAGATTTAATAAAGAGGTGGGGTGTAGAAGGAGCTCAGCACAGAGGCACCAGGTTGAATTCCCAGAACCGAGGGAGAGGGAAGGCTGGGCGCAGCCTCCATGTACACCAAAGGCCAACACATGGTTCCTCCCCAGCAAGCCTTCAACGCAGCGGCCGTGGTACACCACATGCGGAAGCTGCACATGAACCTGCATGGCCCTGGCACCCGCCCCGAGGCCAAGAATGAGCCCCCCGCATCCCACGCCTGTGATGCCATTGGGCCCAGCTCCCCTGAAATCACAGTCACAGAAGTCCCAGCCCCAGACTCAAGCGCATCTCTCGAGATGCCTGCGCAGCCACCCTGCTGGCACAACCCACAGCCTGCGACCCCTGGCGGCGGCGGCAGATCCCTCAACTGCCTGGTCAATGGCTCCCTACACATCAGCAACAGTCTGGTGCCCATGCAACAGGGGCCGCTGGCTGCCGGGCCCTGTGGCTGCTGTTCCAGCTGCCTAAGCATCGGGAGCAAAGGGAAATCCTCCTACTGCTCGGAGCCCACTCTCCTCAGAAAGGCCAACAAAAAACAGTATGTATTTTCAGCAAGCCCAACACAGCCTGAGCTGAAAAACTAAACACTGACAGAAATCTCTCCCTTCAGGCAGCTTGAAGGGTGGGTGGGAAGAGCTCTGGCCTTGAGGCCAGGGACATATTTCCAGCCCCGTTTCCACCTCTCCAGCTGTGAGACCACTGACACATCAGTGAATGTTCCAAATTTGCTCATCTGTACAGTGGGTTCATGGAAGTATGTTTACCAGCTCAGCCTGCCTCATGGGGGGAGCCTGCAAAAAACTGGGGTGTGCATGTTCGTGGAAAGCTTTTGATCCTAAGTTTCCAGGGCCTACGTGTTTGAGGGAAGGCAAGGAGTGGGGGGCCTTCTTGCCCATGTCTCTCCTGCAGGGACTTGTGCTGTCAGCTTCCTGAGGGAACTGCAGGGTGGATGCCACCAGCACAGAGCTTAGCCCCACCCCGGCCCATGCTGCTCCCTTCTGCAGAAACTACAAGGTTGCCACTTTGACCCCCTGCAGGAACTTCAAGTCCGAGGTCATGGTGCCAGTAAAAGCTGGGGGCAGCTCCCACTGCCGAGTGGGACAGACTGGGGTCTGCCTCATTATGTGATCCTTGGAGCCAGCACCTGTCACTGTGGTTTGCAGGTGAGGCCAGCAGGCCTGGGGTTGGAAGCAGGGACAGCCTCCACCCAGGAACAAAGCCGACCTCACCAGGACCCACTTTCCTCTGCAGGAGACGCCTTCAGCTCCTCTCTGCCTCCAGCCCTGGCCTCTACCTGCAGAGGGAGGAGGGGAGCCAGTAGAGCAGGGCCTGGCAGGAGTGTTCAGCCAGAAGCAGCAGCCACCTGGAGCCCAGGAGAGGGCCCAAGGCCTACGCCCCTGACCACCTGCTGTGTTCCCCATACCCTAGCACTGTTGGGCTCTGTGCAGTGCACCTAGATAGCTCCCCTGGGCCTGTTTCTTGTGAAAAGCTTCATGGGCTGGCCAGGCCCACGCAAAGCCATACAGAGTTTCTGCTCTGAGTCCCCATCTGCTCACGCTTGCTCCTGCCTCGTTGGCCTCCTAGCCAGTGGCCAGACCAGGCTCCCTACTACAGCTTCTTGCCTCCCACATGAACACAAGACAGCTCCCAGGTCAGACTGGGTGCTCGCACAACTCTCAGCCTGACCCCGGGTGTCTGCTCCCACACCTCAGATCCTTCATCCAGCCTCAATCTAAAAGTGCCACGCTCCAAAAGTCGGGTGGAAAGGAACCCGGGACTGGGAACCCTAGGACTCCTCCTCCTGGCCACACACCCTCCACATATGCCAAAAGCTACTTTCTTTTCATTCAGAAATTCTTATCCTTATCTGCTCCCCTTTCTCCCTGTAAAGCAGTTGTCTCATCCTGATCCTACCCTGTCTTCCTGTTCCCAGTCTCCAGCTTCACACTGTGTTGTGCTTAATAAAATGAACATATTTTTCTCTATGAGGCTTCCTTTTTTTCTTTCAAGGTCAGAGGCAGCTCAGGGGCTTCACACCTGACTAGAGTGGATGGCAGCTCAAGGCCAGCTAGGGAGGAGCAGTAGCAATTGCTGTGCATTAGGAGCCTGAACGTGCCAGGTTGGTGCCCAGGGGCAGGAGTTACACAGAGACCCCTTGGGGTGGATCCCACAGAGCCCAAGGTCTGGCTACAGCCATCAGTATTAGAAGAACACAGCCCACAGCTGTGAGCTCAGGGGGTAACTTAGCCTTTGGGACCATGGTTTCCTCTCTCTACCAACGGAATGGTGATGCCACCCATATCACGAATATACGCAGATGATGTGCTCAGTGAATAATTAACATGATGATTAATGACCAAGAAGTGAATATAGATAAATGTGAGTACCATGTCTGGGGTGTGGTTAGCACATGCAGGAGGTTCAAGCCATTCCATATGCACCCCCAACACTTGTGCACACACGCAGGTTTGCAACTTCCCTTTGGGACCCGAAAAGACAGATCCTTGTCTTAGTGCTGCCTCCGGGAGCTGGAGGAGTCTGCAAACAATGCTCCCCTCACTGGGAAATGAAACACTGCACTGCTATCCACAGGAGAAGGTGGTCCCCACTCCCACAGGTGGAATCTCTGGTTCTGGGCAGAGGTCCGGCCTCCCTGAGTCTGGGTACCCTTTCCCCTCTTTGAACCTTCAGGTTCCTTTGTGGAGATTTTTATTGGGCTTTTTCCTTTGTAGATCATTTTTGGTTAAATTTTTTTATTGGTCCAGGATCCACTACACTGGAGGACACAGCATGGGAACACTGCCCACCCAGCCCCCTCAATGTGAATGTTTCAGCCAGGCAGACAGGTCTACCTCTGCCACCTCCATCCTGCAAGCTCAGCAGCCCCCATTGCAGGCTCAGATGCAGCGGAGGTGACACACCTGGGCCCAGGCTGTACATCAGGTAGCATCAGGCTCCTAGAGTCAGAAAGTAGCCCAGCCCCATCTGCTTGCCAAGACAAGGGTGGTCGGGGACTGGAGCAGAGGTCACTTGCAGGTGGCATAGTAGAGCACACGCCCATTGATGTGGTCACGGATCTGCTCCACACGCTTCTCCAGCCCAGTCAGGTCTGCCGAGCGCAACAGGATGGCCTGGCTGCCCCGCAGCAGCTCCGACTCCATGTCTGGTGGGGAGGGAAGAGCCAAGAGGGGAGGATGGTTAGATGCAGGGACCCTGGCCCTTCCTGGGGGCAGCGTGAGCAGGAAGGTCCCTCCAGAGGAGCCTGGCCTCTAAGGTGTAGCCTTGCCAACCTGACTCCCTAGAGGCAGAGCCAGGAGGTCGCCTCCACTACCATAATCCATGTGCTCCTGCCCTTCACCTCTGTGCCAGGCTGACAAGGGGGCCACCACACCCAGATCCCCAGCCCAATGCCCTCGACAGCTACCACCCACCCAGGAACCATCAAATGGGCACCCTGGTATCAAGCTGGCCAGCTGATCAGAACCCCTCCCCACTTTCTCTCCAAAAAACACCACTGGAGATGGATCTAGTCCTCTCAGGTCCATTCTGCCTGCCCCTTCTCGATCACACAGTGGGGCCTGGATGACTGCAGAGGGCACAGGTTGGCTTGCCCCAGGCCCATGTCCTGGGTACAGGAACACGGACGGCAGTCAGTCCTTCAAGTTCCAAGAGATTTCCTCAGGTTAACACCTCTGTTCCTCATCTGATGTACCTGCTGAATCCCTGCCTCCCCTCCCATGCCAGACTTGTTTCCTGATGTGTGCACATTTATCAAGAACCCTTCTGCATGTGCAAGAGCCATCACCGGAAGGTGCATTTGCAGTCTGCCATCCACAGAACTGATAAGCAAGTCTTTAATTTCAGGCAAAGCATTGGTGAATGAGGCCAAGCCAGGCAATGGCCCATCCACTGGCTCTTTCCTGCCTCATCCTTTAGCCTTACATCCGTCCACTGTGAGTCCACCAACTCAACTTTCCGTGATGTCCACCTGGCCACCCAGTGGCAAACCTGCCAACCACTTTTGCTGAAATACAAAGAGTCTACACTTGTACCATTCACAGGACACACCAGCCGGCGGTCCATCAGAGACCACCTGGGTTGTGGGAACCACAATTCCTCTTTCTGGTGAGATGCCATACAAGCTACAATCACCCCTTTGCCATATTCAAAACGCTGAGAAGTTCCCTAGGGGGCCCAGGACCAGTCTGCTCTCCTCACCCGGGTGGAGGCAGCTGTGTGCAGCTAGCACAGGGACTGAGGCTCCTTCCGTCCATCCTGCAGGCCGGCCCCACCCTCAGCTGCTGTCCAGCAAGTCAGTCCCTGTCCTCTTGCCTCTTCAGTCCCTTCAGCTAATAACTCCTCTTCACCCCTCTCCTAGCCTGCACCCACCAGGCCCACCTCAAATATTACCTTTTCTGAACATTATCCACATTGAACACTTCCCTCTGAAACTATCTGTCCTCAGACTCCCTGAGCTCTGACTGTGTGTATGCCCCACCCGTTCACGGGCCACCTGATGCCACAGGTGTCACACATCTGGCAGGTGATGGGAAGAATGACTTTAGCTGGACAGTAAAGCTCTTCGGGCCAAGCTGGTGTGGACACTCCTACTTCCTCGCAGCCCCATCCCACACGCCAGGTGATTAGTATGTCCTGAGAGCACTCACACCCTCGGTCAGAGTGGACCTGAGCTGCTCAGGCAGGGACCGGCGTTCAGGGGGTGCATGCCTCCAGCCCCTCACCTCGCATCCTGTCCATCATCTCCATGGTCTCCCCAAACAGCTCCTCAGCTTCTGTCTTCACACTGTGAATCCGACTGCCCTGCTCGCCCAGGGTAGGACTCCGGCCCAACCGGTCTTTCAGCTCTGCATACTTTTGTTTTATTCTCTCAAATCCCTGAGAAAGGTAGCTAGCATGGGTTTGGTGTCACCATCATGATCATCCAAAATCTTAAAGCACTATGGCTCAAGCATTAGTATCACCCAAAACGTCATGGAATAACAATATGCCTCCCATTATTCACTAATCGGTTAGTCTCCCATCACATGGCCCAGGTGATGACTTAACATCTGGTCTGTGTTCCCTGTCTCCACTTCCTGTTCCTGCCCTCCCCACTCCACCACAGGCACAGCGCTACGCATGCAAAAGCAGGAATAAGAAAGCAGTCATAGCACCCGGACTGCATGCACGGCGCCCCAAGCCTAGGCTCCAGGACTGCACTTGAGGCACAAGGATAGCTCCTTCACTAATCTAATCCTGGCAGTGATGGAAGCCATGGAGTCTGGCCAGGCTGGGGCTGAGGAGACAAGCTCCAAATTCGCTAAAGACACACACGCTTCAGATGCGCTGCAGCCTGGGGAGATTCCACGTCCTCAGTGTCTCCAGCCAGCTACCCAGAGGCAGCCAGGGGAGGGATTCAGATGCCTGGCTAGCTTTGGGTTCACCTTTCTTATCCTTTTTCTTCTATATTATATGTGTGTTTGCACACACATGTGCATGTGTGTATTTTGCTGAACCCACTAAGCTAACCCAGAGCCTTTTCACTAAGCTAGAACTTCAGCCCTTTCTTTTTTTAATTTGAGACAGTCTTGCTAAATCACTAAGTTGCTCAGGCTTGGCTCAGACTTGTGAGCCTCTGGCTTCAGCTTCCTAGAGTGCCAGGGTTACAAGGGTATATGCTTTTGAATCCTCAGTCTCAAAGGTCCCTCCAGTTCAGGAGCTCCTGGCGGGCTGGGCATCTCTGGGCTGCTTGGCGCTCTCGGTACCTCCTGGGCACTCAGGGCCCTCTGGCTGGCACCCTCCGCGAGCTGCTGGGCCTGGGCTGCCTGTGCCCGCTGCTGCTGGGCCTGGTGCCGGAGTGCCTCCATCCGGGCCTGGAAGCCACCCAGCTGTTCTGTCATGCGCATCACCAAGCCTTCCGCTGGCCCCAGGACCTGCTGAACCTGGTGGGAAGCAGGAGGAAACCAGGTGGTAGGGGTCTCACCAAAAGCTGGCCCTCTTCAGCAGCAGAGTATCCCCACCCCAACCCTCACTGCTCACTGATGCCCAGGCCTCCTCCTCCTCCCCTCTGCTGCCCCTGTCCCGGCTTTTTGCATCCCCAGGAAATGAGAAAACCCCAGAGTTTGTAATCTACCTTCCTTAGCCCTCCAGTTCCATCAGTCAGGCCACCTTCTAGAATCTTCTGTGCCTGTACCTATTCATTCCCAGACTCGGGGAGGAGCCCAGGACACCTCACCTCAGCAACCCTGTCCTGGATCAGCCGTAGGGAGCGGCCGGTTCCTCTCATGGTGTCCCGAGCTTCCTGCAGCGCCACTGCACCCTGCCTCAAGTTCCCAACCACATCCTCCACCTGGCCTTCCACGGAGTGGGCACGGATCCTGAGCGAGGGCCAAAGAAGAAGGAGATCAAGGATGAGGGGACAGGAAGTCAGTATGTATGGGCTCCACCAGCAAGCAGCCCGGCTACGTCCTTCCACCCCTTCCCAGGGAGCGGCACCGCAGCAGCTCTGGCCTCGCAGGACCCCACGCCCCAGCGGGCACAGGTGTCACACTCAAGACACTTTCGGGCACAGTGACCCATATATGGGATGCAGGACTCTGCATGTCACTCCAGAGCTCTCCTGAGCTCCAGCCTCTCCCAGCAGTGGGGTTTGGGAGCAACACAGCAGCTGGGTAGGGAGATGCCAGGGACCAAGCCCACACCTGGCCTGCTCAGCCTCAGCCTGGAGCCTTCGGGCCCGGGCAATGTCCTGCTTGGTCTGGGTCAGCACCAGGTCCACGTTGGGCAGCCTGGTTGCGATGGCCTGGATTTCCTTCATCTTCCGCAGGACGGTGGCCGAGTCTGTGGGCAGCCACAGAGCCAGCACAGCCTTGCTGACCTCCTCAATGATGGCTGCATCTGTGGAAGGATCTAGAAAGACAGCCATCCGTCAGACTGGGGGAGCCACTCACATTCCCCCATGGAAGGCACCCACTCTGGTCCCTCTGCTGGGCACCCAGGGAGCCACTGCCCCCTCTCAACTTGACTGAGGGGTCCAGGCATTTCAGGGAATGACTCGGAATGATGACTGTCCCCTGCCCAGTGCTGTGGGGATGGGCAGTGTCAGCACAGCTGTGGCAACTAAGTGTGTGGCGCACAGGAAGCTGAGGGCTGAGAGGAGGCGGTAGTGCCAGACAGCTGGCACTGAACAAAGCCCACAGCACACACAGCTCCGCACAGCGAGCAGCAGGAAGCAGAGCTGCTGCTTTGGCAGAGACCCCTCCCCACCCCACCCCGGCTGCAGTGCTCATTTCCACACAGGCAGACAAGGATGCTCATTCTCTGCTGGAATGTCACCTTCTCAGAACTGTCATCCACTTACAATTGCCACTCCATCCGCCCTACGCCAGCACTCCCCACCCTCCCCTTCTGTGTTCTCTCCAGCGTTTCGAGACACCCACTTGCAGATGCTGAACTCATTCATCTCATTTTTATTTCTCCTCCCACTAAGACACATGCTCTGGAAAACAGGGACCAAGCTTAGTCCATGGCTATATCCTCTGGACCCAAGCACAATGCCTGTCACTTGGAGGTCCTCAGTATTAAGGAGAAAATGAATGATTGAAAGGGTTCCAAATTCTGGTCTCTCCCTTGCTATTCAAACAACTGTGGACTAGGCAAATGGCACTTTCAACCTCAGTTTCCTGATCTGTGAAATGGGACTAATGATCCCAATCCTAAAAGTATAATGAGAAATAACAAGTTAGCAAAAGCTTTTATAAACCAAATCTGACTTGTAGAGTAAGAGGAGAAGTACAGGAATGACATCTCCTTATCCTGTTTGCCTTTATAGATTCACCAGCCTGGAACAGTTCTAGAGGGAGCCACTGCCCACCCAGAAGTCTTGTTCTGGGCCTGAGCACCTCTGGGCCTCCAGACCCAGCCAGCTGGCTACACAGGGCCCATCCCAGCCCCCTGCCTCCCAGGAGGTGAAGCCATCCTAATCATTGCTGCCTTCCTCAGGCCAGCCTCCAAGAGCCCCAGATTCACTAAGACCATGTGCTTGGAGATGCAGCACTGTCCAGTAGCCCTCACCCAATGCCTACGCACCTTCCCGGCACCTATGGGTATGAGCACAGCCCCTGGCCCGGTGCTTGCTACACTCTGGTGCTTGCGGTACTCTGCAGGACATCAGCAGCGTGCCCTCTGAAGGCCCTGGTTGGGCCCAGTAAGTATTTACTGCTCCACAAACAGCAGGTGGGAGCTGAGCCCGCAAGTGACTTAGACCTAGCCTGAAATCCAGAGCAGATGCTGACCACTTGCCTGTGATGCTAGCACTCAGGAAGCTGAGCCAGGAGGATCACTGTGAGTTGAAGCCCAGCCTGCACCACACAGCAAGACCATGTCTCCAAAAAATAAAGCTAGGGTGACAGGTACCTCAAAGGTACCACGGGCACAGGGTACGGAGTGGCCACAGAGGGGCACCTGGAAATCTCTTGCAGAGCTCAGTGCTTGAGGGGACTCTCAGAAGGTGATAGGAATTAGGCAGCTCAGAAGAGGTCAGAGAGAGACAATCCAGAGAAAAAATATTACCCAAGGTAAGGGGGCAGCAGCGTGTCCACCCCACAGTGCAACAATGTGGGCCATCAACAACAGAGTGACGTCAAGGAGTCCTAATCCTATCTCCTCAGGCTGGACACCCTTAGGCAGGGTGTTTAGCATCTCTCTGCCTGATTTCTGATATGCGAAGCGGAAGGAATAACAGTACTTAGTTTGTATAGCCAAGTATGGTTCAAATTAGGTATCAGAACAGTACCTGCCTCAGTAAGTAAGAGCTCAATAAGCCTAACTATTAATCTTGTCAGTTCCATTTGGAGAAATGGTAAGAATAATGTCCCTTCCTCCTATGCTGTGACTCACAAACCAGCAGCAGCTAGTACGGCTGGGCCTGCCCACAGCCCAGTCTCTCCATCCCTGCTCCCTCCCACCCCTGGGACCATCGTGGGCCTGAACAGAGGCAGAAGGAGAAATTTCCAGCCACCCCATCCACCCTTCCAGATCGGGCCCTGTCCAGGTCAGTCCCAGATGAGCAGTCTTTTAGCCTCACTGGACTCAACTCAGGGGCAAGAGCATCTTCCCTGAGCATTCAAGCCCTAGACCACAGCCTTCCCCTTCCCTTTGTGCATTAGCACCTTCTCCACCCATCCCTAGTGAGGCCTCCCCACAGGCAGCAGGCCATGGACCCCCTGTAGGGGCCCTTGCAGCCCCTCTCCAACCTGCCATCTGCACTCAGGGGGCAGTTCCAGTCTAGCTGGGTGAAACCATGGGAAGAGTAGTAAGCTACTGTTGTTACCCTGAGCCCTCAGCTCACTCTTACTGGGCTTCCAGCCAAGCAAATTCCCCAGCAGGGACCAGAAATCTAATAATATCAACTCGAATTCCAGAGGCACCTTTAATTTTTCAAAGCACATTTTACATCCGTTATTCGAACCTCAGAATCATATACTACCAATCCTACTTGCAAGTGAAAGATGAGGTAAGGCTGAACAAGTCCAGGACCTTCTTGCACAGCTCTGCCCCACCCTGCCAGGTCCAGTTCTTATAATCATTCCACCAGCACTGGTGGGTGCTGGTGATTTAGCCATAGGAAGACTATAGCCATCCCTGCCCTCCAGGAGTGCACAGTCTACTGGGGAGAGATGCAATCTTTATACTTGGCAGTCAGAGTCTCAGCAGTGGGACAAAGGCCAGACACAGAAGGGGCGTGGGATGGAGAAGATGACCACAGACAGAGAGGTGAGGGAAGGTCTCACTCAGCAGACAATGCTCAAATCAAGACCTGGAAGACCAAAGCAGCCACCACAGGAAGGGCAAATGAAAGTGCCACAGCAGGCCAGAGACCACCTGTCATGTTCAAGGGCATCCAGGAAGCTGTGGAGAAAGGAGCCAAGGTCACACCCAGGAGATGGAGAGAGGCCAGAACCTGCAGCCAGGGAATAAGCTGGGAGTTCATCCAGGAGCAAGGTGAACCCACTAAAGGCTGCTAAGACAGGATGGAATGTGATGTGACTGAGATATTTTTACAGTGCTTAAGGCTGTGGTGCTGAGAATGGACCCAGGGAGGAGGCAGGGAGGTACGGGAACAGCAGACGGCCATGGCCACATGCCTGGGTGAAGTGGTGGCAGGTGTGGAAGTAGTAATGAGGGTTGGGAGAGGCCAGAACACTGGCCAAGGACAAGGTGAGGGTGGCTCACCCGTGAGGAAGTCCCGGACCTGCTGGATGAGCAGCCGTGTGCGTCTGACATCGTCCTCCATCTGAGAGCGGCTGGTGCTCACCTGGGTCTCCAGGCGCTGAGCATCGGATTGAACTTGCAAGGCAGCTTCCTCAGCCGCCTGGATCTGTTGGAACACACTGGGTCAGAAGGGGCTCGAGCCACTGGGCCTGGGCCTCACTCCTGCCTCCAGACCGAACTTCAAACCACTGTGCACAGTCAGGTTTGGCTCCAGAAGAAAGAATGTGTATATTAGGTCAAGGAAAAATAAAAGCCCAAACACTGGCTCCAAACTTATCTACCACTTGCTGCAAGGACTTAGGCCAACTGCCTTCGATGGCTGAGTCCACGGGCTCTATGTCCCCTCCACCACCTCCCACCTGACTGCCACCTGCACTGCACCTACCATCTGTCGGGTCTGCTGGAGCTGGGAGCTGAAGCCCTGCAGCTGCTTGGCCACCTGTCCAGCCATCTGGAGGGCCCCTCCAGTACTGGGGAGGGCACCCCTGCAGTGGGAGCCACAGGTTGTGCCATTGTCTTGGGGGCACAGCTCACCAGGGCATGCTCCAGGAGTGCAGGGTGCCTGCCTGGAACCTCCACAGACCTGTGGAGAGATGGGGTGTCCAAAAGGCTCCTCAACAACCACTCAGAAAACAGCCAGATGTCCCTATGGCAAATATGCACCAAGAACTTGGGTCCTTGGCAACTTCTGATCCCATGGCAAGAGGCACAAGGGTCAGGATGGGAGCAGTCAGTGATCACTAGGGCAGGGTCACCTTGAGGTACACGTGTGGCAGCAGCTGTGTGATACTTGGGGCAGGGCTCCAAGAAGTGGGCTCCCATGGTGACAGTCACCTTGTTGATGGTGGATGTCAGGTCAGGCAAGGAAGCCATCTCTGCCCGCAGGGCTGCAAGCTCGGGGGCCCCAGCAGCTCCCCCTCCTTGCATCTGCCTCATCAGCCCCTCTGCTTCTTTGCGGCTGTCCCTGAGCAGGCTCAGTGAGTGAGAGCTGTCAGAAACCTGCCGGGAAGCCTGGGATGACCGCTCGTAGGCTTCGGTCAGCATCTGGAAGGCCCCTATGGGAAGGAGAATGGTTCAGAGCTGGGCGTGGGCCTGGGGGAAGAGCAGGCAGGAGAAGGGGTCTTGCCATAGCTGTTGCAGTGCTGGGGTTACCTGCATCCCCTCTCCTCACCTGCAGGATCGGCACTGCTTATCTTTTCAAACTCAGTCCTCTTGTTCTGATATGTAATGAGGAGGTTATTGAAGCTCCTGCCCAGACCCTCTAGGTCTCCAGGGAGGGACAGAATCTCTTCCTCTAAAGGCACATCCTGCTGCAGGCCCTGAAGAGTCCGCCTGGGATCAGAGAAGAATTTGATATGAGATAGGAGGGTGTTTGCCTCCCCAGAACCTGGGTCAGGGAAAACGCTCAGCAGAGGGGAGAACTCCCAGGCTGCAGCGGATTTGCCAGGGCAAAGACTGAGACACGCTGGGACAAGGCCCAGCCCTCTGCAGCCCGGTCCACTGAACTCTCCTCGGCTTCCGTGGCTCTCCCCCATTGCCCATGGTTCTCCTCCCACTCCTGGCTTCAGTAAGGAGCACTGTCCAGTCTCTCTTGTTATGGCTGTGTCTAGATGTCCCCCCAAAGCCTCATGCAGACATAGGTGGAGCTTTTTCACAGGCAATAGGATCTGGAGTGTGTGACACTGGGACTGACTCATGATGCAATACTAGGACAGCACACAGGTGGCTGAGGGGGCAGGCTACAGACTGGTGTCCTGTGCCCAAACAAAACCCAGAGGTGGAGAAGTTGACTGGATAAAATAGAAGGGGTAGAAAGAGCTGTGGTCATCCCTGGTTGCTTTTCCACCTTCTGCCTGCCACGGACTGTGCCATGCCACTCTGCCTTGGACTGACTATGGATGGAAACCTCTACAAACTATAACCCAAACAAGCCTTTCCTCCTTTAACTTTGGGTGTCAGGTATTTTGTCTCAGCAATGAGAGAAAAGTAACTAAGATGCTTCCTACTTGGCTCTCTCCAAGCTGAGTGCAGCTGGAAAGCAACACTCCCAAGTCCTCTTCCAAAGCTGGCACCTCCCCACCAAGCTCCCCACCCCACTTGTCCTGCCCCTGTGAAGAGTCCACCTCCAACCTACAGCCTGTGACCTCTCAGAGAGTGTCCTTTCCCTGTGTTCTTTGCTCTCCACCAGCTTCCCATCCCCAACAAGCGTCAAACTCTCCACCGTTGGGTTTTGTTTGGGCACAGGACACCAGTCAGTGGCCTGCTCCTTCAGCCTCCTGTATGCTGTGGACAAACCACTGGGGTGAGATCAAAGTCAGACAGTACTTCCACAACCACCTCGATCCCTTACAACATGTACCACATCCCTCCTCTTTGTACACATTGGCTAACTCTGTGCGAGCTCTACAGGAGAAGACTGGGTCAGATTAATTTTAATTTCTCCACACCTTGTATAAAGTATGGCTCATAGTGCATTTAAAATGCATGAATAAATGAATGAATGAATGAATGAATGAATGAATGAATGAATGAACAAACAAATGATTTCCAGTCTTTGCTCCAGCTCTTCTGCTGCCCCATCTCAAAGGAGCTCTAGCACCCTCATGAGTCCTTTCAGGCTTCCTCCTCTCCAGCCTACCTTTTCCAGCTGCCAGTCACATACCTGGCCAGGCTAGCACATCACCAGTCCACCAGTCCAGGAAATCCAAACTAAGCATAGAAATTTCCAGAAATAAATCTCACCAAAAAGGGGACTCTGCCATGAGGGGCCTGTAGGTGGGACTGAGTCTGTTCCAAAGATAAACTGAAAGCTATTTTTAGCAGCCTTGCCTCCCTTCCCCAGAGTGCTAATTGAGAGTTGAGGATTCCACAGATAGCACCAGGCATTTGAATGAGCAACAAGTGTGGTTCCTGGCCCTGGTGGCTCATGGCTAGATGGCATTGCCTATCACTGCCTGTCTCTTCACCTGCAAACTACAGGTAATACCAGTCCCATTCCATCTCGCAAGACTGTCACTGCAGACAGAGCAGCCCTGCAAGCCTTGTGGGCTGTACCAGGCTGCAGGAATACAGACAAGTCCCACCCTTCCGCACGCTTAGCAGAGAGGGTGATTACCTGATGGAGAAGATGCTGTTGGCCACCTGGGCCATGTCCTGCTCTGTGACTGAGGTGCTACCCAGAATTGCTTGGATCTGCTCCATCTTGCTCTTGGCATCCAGGATTCGGGAGGCCAGGCCCACATCCTCCAGACCTGGTCTCAACTGCAGGCCGGCAGTGGCATTGTGGAGTCTGCTGAGGCGCCCAGCCTGCTCCTTAAGGCCTGAATCGTAGGTCTGGAAGCAAGAGTGGCAGGCCACACACACTGGGTAGCTGTCACAGTAGCCTCTTTGGCACTGGTCACAGCGGCGCCCAGTGAAGCCAGGGCGACAAAGACAACGGCCGGAGACCTTGTCACAGCCTGGATTCTCCGTCCCCCGAAAGTCACAGTCACAGGCTAGGGCCAGAAAAAAAAGAGTCAGGAGGTAGAGCTGGGGAGAGGAAGGTGTCCTTCATGTAGGGAAGGTCTGGCCATATGGTCTCCCAATGTGACTCACAATGACAGACTGCAGTGGCTGGAATAAAGTCATGACAACAGCAGCAAGGATAGTACCCCCACGCATAGGCATTGGCCCCAGAACACATCCAGGAACTCATCCACTCCTCATAGAGTTTGGTCCTCATCTTCCACTGTTATAGCAGAGACCCTGAGGTCCAGAGAAGCCAAACCACCTGCTGACTCCTCTAAGGAGGAGATGCACACGAGGGGAAGCACCCCATGTGGCACTGAGCGAGGTAGTGAGACCAGGACCGAGTCTGTATGCCGTGTCCCGTGCTCTTGGGGAGACAATGCCCACCCCCCGGGACTCACTTCCTGCATACTTGCATCAGCTGCTGGGTCAAGCAACCTCCCTTCTGGGCACAGCCTGGCCCAGGGCAGGAAGACCCATGGCACTAAACACACAGGCACCACACACATTCACACAGGCAGCCACCCCTGCTGAACCCATGCGCCCATCTCCATCCCTGCAAGGGTGACACGTACATCGGCATCCTGTGGCTATGTCACCATGGGTCTGGTCAGGACACTGGCGGATGGCTGCAGCAGCATTGCACGTCAGACCATCAAAGCCCTCCTGGCATGGACACTGCCCTGTGAACTAGGAGGAACAGAGCACTGTCAAAGGGCCCCTGCAGGCTCTGCATCCCTGGTGCAGGGATGTACCCCAGGCCCCTGCTATGCAATGGAATTCAAGGATCCTGTCTGTCAGCAGAGCTGGTGCTCCCCCACAAAACATGGGTTTCCTCCCAGAGACAAGCCTGGAACTCAGGTCCCGGGCCTCTCTGAGAGCCATGGGTGAGGGACATCTGGCAGCTCTCCTTTGGGAGAACAGGGTCAGAACAGCTGTCCTGGCAATGGAAGGGCCAGAGGACAGTGCCAAATGAGGCAGAGATGGAGCAGGCAGGACCCCTTCCTGCATGGCCACCGCAGCCCATACCTGGTTGCATTGAGAACTGAGGGAGGTGCGAGGGTCGCAGGCACATGGCTGGCAGCCCTGGCCACTGGCCAGCTTCCAGTGGTTGGGAGCACACTGATCACACCTGGGGCCCACCACATTGGGTAGACACAGGCAGCGCCCCGTCTCCTCATCACAGGGCATGTCCCGCCGGGCCCCCAAAATGCTGCAGTCACATCCTGCCAGAGAGACACCCCAAAGCAGTTCAGTCCCCCAGAACACACATCCAAGGAGGGGGCCCTGACTAGGAGAAACATGGGGCTGGACTTTCCCCGTGGACGATGGGGCTGGCACACACAGCCCTGTGCCTTCCTAGCCTCCAGGCAGCTTGGCAGTGGCCCATCACCCTTGCTGTAGCTGGCTCTGTCCTACCTTCCAACCCAGTCCTGTGCTGCCCCCTGCTGGACACTTGTGGCCCCGCACCTGGCGCTGGGGAAAACACAAATCTGGCCTCCAGGGGAATAGTGGCCTGACCCAGCCAGAATGGAGCTTCTCTCTGTGAACCCCTGAGGTGGGGCCAGCCTCGGGCTCCCTGCTGCCTCCCCTGAGTCACATCCCTGGGACCCAACCCTACTCACGGTGGCAGCCCTGCGGGTTGGTGTGAGTGAGTCCAGTGAAGCCCGGCTTGCATAGGTCACAGCGCTCCCCCTGCACATGCTCCTTGCACACACACTGCCCCGTCACAGGGTCACACGGCGCTCCTGGCACTGCCCCATCAGGGTCACATTCACAGGCTGAGAGATGGGAAGGACAAAGGGAAGCTGAGGGCCAGGCCAGTGTTATGAGCCCCGCTGGGTGGTTCAAAGCCTGACCTGCCACCAGTGGCCAACCTCACAGCCTCAGCCGCATGTTTAAGCCCTCTGTGCCTCTGTCTCCTCATCTGTAATGTGGGAAAATGGCGTAAGTCAGTCAACAGTAAGCAGGTGGACTAGCACTCGGCACATGTTAAGTACCACGGAAGTGCTTCTGCTATTTTTACTTATGGGGCAACAGCGATAAGGCAAACCCCGAGCCAGGCCCACTCAGGCGTTGTCTTTTGCAGTCCTACTAACCCTGAAAGATTCATTCCACTTTTTTGAATGTCATCCCTAAGGCAACAAGAGAAACTGAGGCACAGATGGTATGTTAAAGAATCTCAAGATCATATTGCGAGTAAGTGCTAGACATGGGTCGAATCCAGCCATAAACACATAATATCAGCAGGAAGTAGCCCCGCTGCTGTCCACATCCTGACCTTCTCCATGCCTTTGGAAATATAAGACTCTTTCATCCCAGAATTCTTGCTGGTTGGGCCTGCCTGAACCAGAGTACATCCATGCAGTCTGCTGGTTCTTCTGTGCGCTCTGTGGCTTTGTGGGCATGGTAAGCTGCTGTGACAGTTCTATTCTCTCGAGTTTGTACATTCACTTTGCTTCTTTGAGTATCAGTGATGTTCCAGTCACTGTGTTATGACCAGAGGGTATGACACAATCCCTGCCCTGGAGGAGTTCTCAATGTTCAGGGAAACAGAAAGGCCACAGTACAATATACTAGCAGCAATCATACCCGTGTATGATAATGAGCTCTCACTCCTCTATTTTGCCCAAGGGTTTTTTATATAACCAAAGAAAGCAAGCAGGCAAGAGCTGCATCTAATACTGACTTCCTTACCTATGTCCAAGTTAAGGGCTGTATGTTCAGTGGTTGACTCATTAATGATCCAGGGGGTTACATAATTTGGTTAATTAAAAATTAAACACTCCACAAGCCCTGGCCACATTCTTGCCTTCAAGCTCCCTGATAATTTGTCTCCCCAAGAGGAAGTGGCCAGAACAAAGGGAGAGCCAGGCCCTACGACATGCACGACTCCTACTCACGGATGCAGGTCTCCTCAAGGGGAGCACCCGGACGCCGGTTCCGGAAATAGTGCAGCTGACACCGCTCACAGTTCTTGCCTTCTGTGTGATCCCGGCAATTATCACACACACCTCCGTGCGCCCCCTGGCTGGCAGCAAACACAGCTGGGTCGAAGTGGCAGGTCTCCGAGTGCCCATTGCAATCACACCCTGGAAAAGTGGGGTCCCCAGCTGACATCTGACCAGCACCTTCGCCATAAGTTAGCTCATAAGCAGCTCAACTCGTGAGGTGTGCAGGGCAGGAAAATGGGGAAACTGAGGCCAAGGGAGGCTGTGTAGATTATCCAAGACTACAGGACTACAGGAAAAAAACAGTGTACAATAAGAAGCCAGGCCTCCAGACTTCCCATAGGGAACTCAGGAATGGTAGCTTTGCTGGGTTGAAAGGAGATGATGGTCTACACCCAGCCCTTCCCATCCTGCCACAGATCTCCTGCTGGGTCCCTGCCCCTGTGGGCTATGCAGACAAAGCCCCCAACTCTAAGGGACTATATGAAGTAGGAAAAGGGACAGCAGGAAACCAGGTAAGTCTGTAACAGGGTAAAGTAAATGGAGGGGTGAGAAGAAAGCTCTGGGATTACTATGGAAGCAGGAGACCAAGTCCCGGCCCTGTCAGGGCCAGCCAAGGAGGGCAGTGGGGGCGTCCTGCCCATTCCTCTCTCTGCCCACAAGCCAAGAAGGCTTACACTGCAGGGCTCAGCTCAGTTTCTAATGAAATAACGACAACAGACCCTCCCTGCATCCCAGGTAACTCCTGTGAGACACCAAAGGGCCAGCACCCAAGTGGTCACTAGAGGGAGACATGGTCCCAGGGTCCTACTTTGACACTCATGGGGGTCCTGGTCCTCCGCTGGTCTCCAGGGCTGGTTGTTGTAGAAGGGAGCACAGCGTTCACAGTGCGGGCCGGCAGTGTTGTGCTGACAGACACAGATATCATGGACCTAGGAGAGGGACAGCAGGTTGTCAGAAATCCAACAAAGGGATGGGCAAGGATGGGCCCATGGTGTCCCCTCGCCCGACCCTCCCACCCACCGAGGGGCCCTCCAAGGAAGCTGTTGCTGAGTGTTTCAGCCTTCACCTCTCCAGTGACACCACGACCGGTTTGACTTTCTTGGATCTGTGTGTATGAGCATTGCACCCAGTTGGAGTTATGGGTGGGCTTTTGCTGGAGAAGGGCTTTCTAGATGGAAGGGAGAACCCCTTCTTATTGTACACTGTTTTTTTCCTGTAGTCCTGTACTCTTGGATAATCTACACAGCCTCCCTTGGCCTCAGTTTCCCCATTTTCCTGCCCTGCACACCTCACAGAGTTGAGCTGCTTATGAGCTAACCTATGGCGAAGGTGCTGGTCAGATGTCAGCTGGGGACCCCACTTTTCCAGGGTGTGATTGCAACCAGTGGACCAGCAGGGGATGCGTGGGAAGCAGTGCTAAGCCCCACTTGCAGCAGTTGGCAGGACATGGGAGACGGGAGTGCGTTGCAGATGTGTATGTATGTACATGTGCATGTATGCCCACACAGGCCCTCAGCAGGCACCTCACAAGCTCATCCCTTGCACTAGGATAGCCCAGAAAGGCCCTGTTTGGTACACCAGGTTTTAGAAACTCCCTAGCTCCCTAGAGATTTATATTCTAGCAATCTATGACTAAGTTATTTGGCTAATGGGGCTCTTAGGATGAATTGCTACTAGACTCATTAAGATATAAAAATAGAACACCTATTGTGATTTAATTGCCTTCCAAATCAAGCCAACACCCTCAGCTTGGCATTTGAAGACCTGCAACATGTACACTCCGATCCCACCTCCCACGCCCTGCCAACAGCTGCAAGCAGGGCTTAGCACTGCTCCCCACACGCCCCCTGCTGGCCCACTGGTGTAGGCTTCTGGTTCTCCCTTCCATCCAGAACACCCATCTCTATTCACCAGCAAAACCCCACCAAAAACTCCAGCTAGAATGGCCACAAGTTCCATACAGTTCAATGCTGGTTGCACCTCACTGTCTCCCCCACCCTCTGCACTTTTTAAAACACTAATGCGGGCCCAACTCAGCCTGAACCTCAGGGGCTGGGCCACGAGGTGTAGAGAAGCAGAGACTAGTACTGCAGCCTCAGCTCCATCCTTCTGCCCTACAGCACACCGGGTCCCTCACCGGTCAGCCTCCATCTCAGCCCAGCTATGGCCATGAGGAAGGCAAGGGCGGGTCCCTCTGCCCTCAGGGCCCTGCTGGATGACCTGGCAGCATCCATGGACCAGGGGCTCCCAACCTAGGCAGTCAGAATCAACTACTTCTTCAAAACCCAGTAATAAAGTTAGAGCATCTGAGGGTGGAGGTCCAAGGAAGTCCTTTTAGTTCTCAATGAAATTACAATTTATAATAATGTATAGTAATATTTACATAATAATATTGCAAATTTTAACATAACATTTATATAAAACTGTTTTTTGGAGTTTTTTTTTTTTATACTGGGAATCAAACTCAGGATGTCACATTTAATGGGGAAGGCAAGCACTGTGCCGCTGAGCTAAATGCAAGTAATTATAATTTATAATAATTTCTACATTATAACTACAACATGTAACCTAGGTTGCGAAGTTTGCCCTTGTGCTCCCCTCCAATACCCAGACATGTAACTGGAAATTAAAACGGTCCCCATCTCTAATCAGGTTGAAGAAGTACTGGGAAATTCTGATTTTGGAAATGATAGCCACGTAGATTCATTTTCATTATTCCTGGAGTGCCAAAGAGCCAAGTCTTGCACCGAGGCCCCTGCTTCACGCAAGCCTCCTATGGCTCAGTCTGCACTGGCCCTGCCCCAGGTTTGTCACCCTAAGCAACCCTACACCTCACCTGCACCGTGGAGGGGCCTGCTGCAGTGGCTCCAGGCTTGGGGGCACAGCGGTCAGCATGGCCGTGACAGAAGCAGGTCCCCTGCAGACGCAGCTGGGACACAGCGATGTAGGTGCTGGGGGGATAGCGGCCTTTCCGGGGCACCGGGGCCAGCTTGGTGAAGTTGACTCTCAAGTTGGTGATGTCTCCCAGCTCTGATGGGCCAGCAGCGAGGAAGGATAATGGGGAAGCAGAAAGAACAGAAGTTAGAAGCCAACAGAGTCGCACAGGAGTAAAGGATGGTACTGTCCAACCCTGGAGGACTGGGTGCCATTGAAGCTAGAAATTGATCATATGTGCTGGAGTATGGCCATCCCAAGAACAAAGAGAGCCTGGGACAAACCACATGAAGGAGTTGCTTCAGCCCAGAGAACACCTGGCCCCAAGACAATATGAACAGTGGGTTGCTAGGAAAATGGGGCATCATGTGACATTAAGGTGCTAAAAGGTATAAATAAATGCCTTGGCAGTGAGAGGCCAGTTCCTTTCCTCCCATCAGAAGGATAAGGGCTCCACCTGCCCCCAGCTTTGTCTCTATTTTCTTATCCTCTTGTGGTCCTTCACCCCAAGAACCTCAAGGACCACATAGGTCGTGACATATGATGCCTGAACACAGATGGAGTAAGAGATTGAAGGCAAGGAAATACTTCTCATTTGTGCACAACTAGGGAGAGAATTGCATTGGTATAGGTCAATAGGCATCACTGGAGAGCACGGATATTGGCTTCATCAGGTGGAAAGAGTGGGGCATTGAAACTTTCTAATTCTCTAGGGCCAGTTATAAATGGGTCTATGAGAAATTCCTTCCCCAGGGGGGGAAAAAAAGATGTATTGCTTTCACTAGTAGTGTAATTATGGAGCAAACAACTGGTAAAGAATTGGAAATGTGTAAGGAACTTTTTGTTACATGTTCTGATTCCAGTATTTATTTCTCTTTTTGGATTGTGATTAGGAAATGTCTTGGTGATTGTGGGATTATTGGGATGCCCACAAAGCAACTGGCTCAGAGCAATATTTTCAATCAAATCCCAGGCAGGGAAGAGATGGCAGGGTAGCAGAAACTCTGATAAAGTTTAATAAGCTTTGTAAACTTGCTTAATTAGGTGAGAGAAGAGATGGGGGATAACTAACTCTTCCCCCGCAAAAGGAGAGCTTTGCTGCAAATTTCATTTTATAGCACGTGATATTTTAAATTGAGCTGTCCTCACCTTTCCAGCTCAGAAAAATTTTGCTGCATCACAGGTTAATCCTTCTACCTCTCAGGGAGTAGAGTGTCTCCCTTGCAATTGGCACCAAAAAAAAAAAAAAAAAAAAACCAAAAAGTCAGATGGGCGGAGGGATACATGGAGGGTTTTGAGCATATCTATTTGGTTACTAAACTTCAAATCCCCAATACTCTGAGACAAATTATGATCACTCAGATCATCAGTTCACAGCCTAAGAAAGAGAAACAACAAAGCTACGTGTTTTTGCTGTGGGGGAGAGGGGGCATTTTGCTAAAAGTTGTGCTGCTGCATCTGTGGGGCAAAACAGTCACCAACTGTCCCTAAGAATCCACAGTCTAAACAGTTCTCTGAGGAAGTCAGGAGTCAGCACCCACCCTCCCATAGGAGGGTCAATGCTGTTAAGCATGCCCGTTGACTATGTGACTCGCCTCCCCATTTGTTACCGATTTATCCAATTTTACCTGAGCAATTAATCTTATTAGTTGACCACAATTCTGTCCTGCCTTATACCCACTTTGTGAGTTCCTGTTTTTCCCACCTTGGACCCATCTCACTTCATAATTTTACTCTATAAAGTCCCTAGAGAAGACAGAGTCCTTGGCAATCTGCTCAGAACACCTTCTATCTCTCTCAGACAGAAGCTTTCTTTCTCTCAATAAATACATTCTGCTCTTAACCTCCATTGTTCCTAAAATTCATTTCCGATTTTAAAGAACACAAACTCCTACCGGACATATAGTAGATTGTGAGTTTCATTCCCCTGTACCAGCAGGACCTGCCTTACAAAGCTGGGGTTTGCAGCCCTGCCTCCTGGGTGCTGGTTGAGGCAAATTATAATGTAGGAACACATTTACGAGACAGCAAGCTTATAGATTTTCATGATCAATTAGAGGTCGCTGACCAAGTTACTTACTGTCCTGCTGTTTCTGCTAAATTCAATTGACCTGGACAGCCCAGCTGCACACCTCTGCTGAGCACTTAGTCAGAGTAGCTGCTTATACCTTAAGGTACCCTAGGCTAATCAAGGGCCCCTTCTCATAATATTTCCTACGTTATGGTAATGTTCCTAACTATGCTCACTCTGCAAGGTCCCCCTCCTTGTTCCCAGAGTGTTTCTACTGTTTCAAGACCAGCCTGCCAGTCAATAGATGACTCAATGTATGCAACCAGTTACATAATGTTTTGTCACTTGCTTTGTACCTTTCACTCCTCCATTCTATATGAACTAAACTTTTCCTAGATTCAGTGCTTTTGCTTTTGAGGAATGATCCCTGCAACAATACACTGGTGTGAAGATCCAACAGCCTGGTGGTGTAAAGATTAAATGCTGCCTTTTATCTCCTCGGTGCAGAGTTCTCTGTTCAGTTTGGCTTGACTTGGGAATTTTCCCACAACATGCTGAGGGGCAAACTCCAGTGGGCCTAACAAGCCTTCTTTTTTTGGTCTTTTTCCTTTTTATTGGTACTAGGGATTGAACTCATGACTGCCTGCTTGCAAGGCAGGCGCTTATGCCACTGAGCTAAATCCCCAGCCCCCTTACATGCCTTCTAATTGCCAGCCTGAAAGTGACACCACAACACTCAGCCAGGGGCCAGGAAGGCGGGACACAGCTCTCAAAGGTAAGACAGGGCTCAGGCACACTGGAGCTACCTCCATCTTTTCCCAGCGCCTGCAAATGAACTTTATGCACCCTGCACTTGGATCCCTAACGATGGTGGGGTCTCAGGCCAGAAGAGTAGCGCAACCTGAGTGCCCAGAGCCTGGGGTCAGCTGGCGGCGACAGTGGCTGCTTGTGCATGCCCCCACAGTGGCCCAGGATTTCCCCAGATCTACCTGCACATGAGCCAGCCACCCCCACCATACCCAGGCAGGAAGACAGGAGCCACACCTTGCTGTGGAAACCACAAATGGCAAGGAAAAGCCAAAGAGTCTAAATACAAAATGCAACGTTTTTTCTCTGTTCCTTACAAAAAAAATTCCTTATAATCCTCAGGACTAAAAATGATTAAATTTACTCACAATTTAAATTTCAAAAAACAAAAAGGGGGAGTTCACCTTGTAACAGATTTCATTTGGCAGTATATACTATTTAAAAAGTTTTAAGTTCTAATAAAGATGAAACTACAGTGGCAGAAAGATAATGCAATCAGATAAAGGCTACAATGAGTCCTTTGGAAAGATCTTCATACTGGATAATCAAAGCACAAAGTCCAGTGCTGATTTGGGCTCGAGAGTATGCTTATGCTTTTCCAGGATGTGCTGAATGGCCTATCTGGGTGCCAGTATGTGCTCTCTGGCTGAATCATGAACCCAAACCCAGAGGAGTTGATTCTTCCTCTAAGAAACTGATGCTCAGTCCTCTGACAGCGAAACCATGCCACAACTGAGAGACAAAGATGGAGTTAGACCAGACCTGCAGCCAGTAGAGGGAACTGACACAGGAAGCCCAGGAGAGGGGAACCATAGGTCTAGATAGATGATCAGAGGATACAGAGATAACCAAACTGAAACTTTAATGAAAGAAGCAGTCACAAAAATTTACTAGTATTCTTAAGATAAAATACAAAAGTGTATGTTAATTATTGGTAAGATTTTGTCCTTTCCAAATTACCTTTACAAGAGATCTCTACTAATTGACCTTCAATAATTCTGACTAGTCAATTTATAGTTATAAATTCTAAATTTGCAAAAAAATTCAATTGGGCAAAAAATATATTTGAGTGCCCTCTGATTTTGTAAGGTGTTTGTCATTCTACCTGTGTATCTGTTGTCTGTCTAGTCTGTTAAGCAGTTGTTGGGAGTAGCTAAGCTAGTGCCTGCTCACATGTACGAAGCCAAAAGCACAAGTGTCCATACAGGAGTGCCCAGAGGCCCGGAGCACCTGAGAAACACCTGAGGACATGTGGTGCTGAAGGTGAACAGGTGTTCTAGCCCTGAGAACATGGGCTGTAAAAAGTTAGCTAATTCAGCAAAGAGGCATGATACAAGTGTATAAAGAGCTTCCCCCCAGAACTAAGAGAGTTCTTGTGGACACCTACAAGCTGTATGTTTGTTTCTATATCTGTCAAAATATGTAAAGATTGTCTGTCCATGTTTGTCCATTTGTCCATTCTGGGAGCAGCTGTTCTTTTTATTTTGAGCTCAACAATGTTTCCCTTTTCCTTTCTCTTTTGCATTTTTGTATCACTTGATCAAAGGTTTATTTGGGTTATAGATTTACAAACCTTGGTTGCCAGCTGGTCCAAATGAGGCAAATATTAGTTCCATAAATACAATATATATTGTTGTGTATTATTGACTTGAGAGTCTCTCATTGTTTAAAAATTAATTAGTTAAATATTTTAATTGCATTCTTGGTTTTTGTTTGTTTCGTTGGGTGGTTTTGGTGTTTTTGGTGCTGGGGATCAAACTCATGACCTTGCACCTGCCAGGCAAGCACATATTCCACTGAGCTAAATTCCCAGCCCCATGATTGCACTTTTCATAAGTCATCAAAAAAATTATTAAGATGAGTAAACAAAATCTATGGTTGGGATTATTGGATAGGACTACAATTGATGAATAAGAAAGCAGCTGCCTGGTGACATTTTTAACCAGTTCTTGTTCCTTGATCAGAGGCCCTAGTGATCTCCCTACTAGTGAGAGACACCCCACTAAAATTATAAAAATATATTGTTGTAATATGTCCACATTGGTCATTGTTTAAAAAATATGATAAGGTTTTTGATTTTAAAATGCCCATACAAAGGTTTTAGTATGGTTATGACAAATGATTATTGTTAACCTCGTGGTATATTCATGTATTCATGCTTCCAGATGCACAGGTCTTCCAAAATGTAAAACAAGGACTGTTTATGGTGACAGAATTTTGTTCCATATTCAGACCTCTGCCTTCAATGGATGCTTATGAGATGTACATCCCACTAAAAATAATCAAGTTAGATAAAAGCTTCTTATTATTAGATAAGAAAAGATTAACCAAAAAGGGGGTGTCTTATGTCAAAAATGCAAGTTCAAATGTGGTACAAAATATTATCATGATTGTCATGCTATAATGTTGTATATGGTTTTGATTTCTAATTTTCTGTGTGAAATATGTAACTTTGTTAACATTCTACAGGTATTCAAATTGTTAAACATTAATGGTTAATAGGAAATAATGGTTCCATTTTATGCTCTAAGATGCTTTACATTTAGAGAATATAGTATTGTCAAGCTTACTGTATCTACTATACCATACTGTTATTAATCTTTTCTTCTGAAGGCTCAACAACTGCGGCTTAGAGACCAAAAATTAGAGAGATAGAGGGTCTAAGAGACTAGCCATACTTTGGCGCTGGCCCTCCAGGGTCAATGAGGATCCAGGACATAAGAGAAACTCTGCTGTGTCCCTGGTCTTCTGATCAAGAAGATTGTGAGACCACTGAGGAAAGTAATCATTGATGTGTAGTGTACCTAAGGACAGTCACCAGGAGAAAAAATCTCTCAAGCTTTCATGGAAAGCAACTTGGTCAAGCAATAGCCGTGACTCATCCAGATGGTTGACACCAACAATAGAGCTAAGAGGTGCTACACATGGTTCCAAGGTTCCTGAGGAGACCTAACTGACCTAGATAGATAGCAAGACACTAAATTTAATATGGATCTCACCTTAACTTGGTCTTGAACATCCTACAGAAAAGTACAACTTCAAGAGGTTTAATACAATGCCATAGTATTATGCTAGCTATAAAAGAAGCTCAAATCACTAACACCATCTGACAATTATTGGCTATATTGGTAAGTGTCTACTGTTACAGATTAGTGGACTGCACAGGGATTAAATTGTGGGAGTTCTCCAAACAGCTTCTCTAGCTTCAAAAGACCACATATCCTGTGCAACACAGAACAAAAGAGAGGGATATGTTGGGAACTGTTGAAGCTGAAAATTGACCACATGTGCAAGGATGGAGCATGACCATCCCAAATACAAAGAGCACCTGGGGCAGCCAGGTGCAGAAGCTGCTTCAGCCCAGAGAATGCCTAACCCCAAGACAATCTCAACGGTGGGTTGCTACGGCAAGGGGGCGTCATGTGACCTTAAGTTGCTAAAAGGCATAAATAAATGCTCTGGCAGTGAGAGGCCAGTTCCTTTCCTTCCATCAGAAGGATAAGGGCTCCACCTGACCCCAGCTTTGTCTCTTCTTTATTTTCTCATCCTCTCATGGTCCTTCACCCCAAGAACCTCAAGGGCCACATGGGTCGAGGTATGGGTGCTGCCCTCACAGTACCCTAGGGCTGAGCTCCAGTTTCCCTGTGGGGTAAGCAGGGAAGGCTCTGAATCCCAGCTGGTTTGGAGAAACAGGAAAGAATGGGAAGTTTCCATGACCCAAGCTCCAACGTGTTTCACTCCGCTCTCACAGTCCCATGGGCAAAAAGTACCCACACAAACCTTGAATTTTTTGACTTCGAGTCGCTGGAATCCCAGATGCTAAATCCATAAGGTTAAGCTGGACCTATACAGAGAGGGGAAGGGAGACCAAAGAAGATGTAAGCAGTGTGCCCCTCTTAAAGGAAGCCTCCCCTTCTAGTCCACACCCATCCTCCTGATGCTTCCTACACAGACCTAAGATGGGCCAGGATTGAGGCTTCCACCTGCCCTGGGAAGCCAGGTGATCACTGGGCCGTGCAGGGTATGTGTGTTCCTGTGTTTGTCTGTGTACAACTTCTCTGGACATACAGGTGTTGCAAGAATTTCCTGATTTCCCTGAGTCAAAAATTATAGCAATATGTATAATCTACACATGTGGGTTTAGGAAACAAGAATTTTCCAGTGCTCCAAGATGAACGAGGGGCTCAGGAGTGTGTGGACGCAGTAACCACAGCACTCAACAACCTCAATGTCAATGGGGCCTCTTGTGTGTAGTCAGGCTCACTAGATGTGACTTCCCTTGCACATCACCCTCAGCCAATCAGAAGGAAGTCCTGGACCCTGATTTAGACTTGTTTCAGGATGTAACCAAAGGAATGGCCCCACCGAAGGCAGGAGAGGGCCTGCCCCAGGAAGGGTGGCACTCTGAACATCCATCCGAGAGCAGATCTCAGGCTCTCTGTGGTCCTTGGTTAGGGGAAGGTGGAGAGAGACCACAGTCGCCTTTGCCAGGGGCAGGGAGACCATCAGGGAAGAACTCAACTCATGCTGTGAGGGTTTGGGGAGAAGCACTCTGGGTATTCCTGAGTTTCCATTCCCTACTGAGGGTTTATGTTCAGGTAATCTAGGATGCTGATCTAGATGAGTAAATTTAACAAAAAAAGTCAGTTTTGAGTTTAATGTGATCAACATAAAAAAAATCTGTGCAGTTTGCTAACTGGCAAGGAACTAGTCACCCGAAAGCCCTCAATTGGAGTAGAGTCCATCTCATCCTCTGCATACAGCCGTGTGCTGCTGAGCCTTGCAGGAGGAGGGCAGGGCTGGGAGAGGAAGGAGAGCTGGCCAAGGGCTTTCAAGCATTGGGTAGCTCTGAATCACAGGGGTTTCTCCCAGGCCCACTTCTTCAGGGTCTCTTCTACCTACCTTCCCACCATTTAGGTGCCCATTAGTCCTCTGGGGCAGGGCCTGGCATCGTGCATCCTGCCAGTTTCTGGGCTGGCCCTGGTGGACCCGAGGGAAGGTAGAGGTGCAGTCATCAGCCAGGTACTGGTACACCCGCCAGGTCCTGCCAAAGTCTGACGAGCGCTCAATCAGCATGCCAGCAGGCACAGGCCCCTGTGGAGACAAGTGGGCCCTGAGTGACAGCAAGGAGGGGAGGTATGTAGTGAACCTGTGGGGTCACAGTCACAGAAAGCAGCTCCTCCGAGCTGGAGAGAGACAGGGTCCCAGCAGGACCAAGTGGTCCAATCTTTCTGACAGAGCATGGGCCCAGTAGGTTGCCCCTGGGAGAACTGTGCAAAGTAATGGAAATGAAATCTGTATTCTAGAAGGTGTGATTCCTAGCTCAACCTCGACTTCTGCCACCTGGCTTTCAGACTTGAACATTCTTCCACCATGGCACTTCCCATAGCCAACCATTCTTACTCCTACAACAAGTTGACCCACCCCCACCCCCTACACTATGGTCATCTATGGCCCCAGTTCAGGCTGTGGTAATGCCAAACCTGAATGACTGCCAGAGTATGGAAATACCCAGACTCCAAACCACTGTCCTACTCCACAGAAAAACCTTCCTAAATGCTTTATCTGATCATGATATCCTCCAACCCATCTGCATTGTCCCACAGATAAAATGCAAGCTCCTCAGATGGCTGTGTGCCCCATTCTCTTCCTGGGTGATGCCATCCATTTCTTCTTAGCTTGAATCACTCATTTCCTTACACTGAAAGTTCAGAAATCCTAACCCCAAAGCAAACTCAAAATTAGGCCATCTATCCAGCTTCAGTAATATTTCCTATGCATCCCACCCTTCCCTAGTAGGCTCCATCTGATTTCCCCTAGTTCACTCTCACCTAGGTCACACCAGCCACAACATAAATTTCAACTGTTGAAGGATTGGTCCCCAGCTGATGGCACTATAGGGAGGTGGGGCTTAGTTACTGGAAGTAGTAGGTCATGGAGGTAGGCCATTGAAGATACTCTGTCTTTTTTCACTTCTTGGCTACCATTATGTGAGCAGCTACACTCCATCACATGTTCCCCACCATTATATTATCCCTGCCACAAGATAGTGACAAAGCCATGTGACTATGGACTGAACCTCAGAAACTGTAAGCTAAAAGAAATCTTTCTCCCTTTTATATTGATTATCTCAGATACTTTGTCACAGCAATAGAAAGTTAACTAACATACCCCTAGTATAATTTGGATCTAGAGTGTCTGCTAAACATACATATACTAAAGGTATGGTCCCAGTTAGTGGCGCTATTGGAAACTTTCGGAGGTAGGGCCAGTTGAAAGAGGTGGGTCACTGGGGATGCACCTTTGAGGGGTACAATCTTTCCCTGAATTGATCAAATCCCTTCCTGGCTGCTATGAAGTAATCAGCTTTGCTCAATCACACACACTCTGCCATGATGTTGAACTTCATTTCCAGCCCAAAGTGACTATGGACTGAAAACTCGGAAATCATGAGCCAAAGTGAATCTTTTCTTCCTTAATAAGGTTAAATGACCAGGGAACACTTTCTGACTTTCAGGTGTCAATATGAGCTTTGAGTAGAGAGTAATAGGACCTAATTTCTTTCATGACTGAGGAAGTTGGCTCTAAAAGCCACATTCTAAAAAATGGCCAAAAGGATTTTGAGAAATTCCAGCACCATTAAAATAGATGTCCAGTCTCTAAAAGGGACAGTTTTAAAGGGGACATTCATTTGGATATCATTAATAGTCTTGTTGCTTTATTATCATTCAACCCTTTGATGGTTCTTGCCACATACAGATTAAGCACTGATTATATGCTACACTTGATGTGAGATGTTACAGACAGGAAAGTGAGTAAAACCAAGCCAATTAGCCTCAAGTTGCTTTTAGTACATGTAAGGGAGGCAGAGACCCAGGAGTGAGTGTGTCAGGTGCTGTATTGTGGGTGAGAAGAGATGCTGATGAGTACAGGAGGTGCCAACAGGCATGGGACATCTAGTGAGGTCTGCCTTGAGTTGGGGGGTGGGATGTCAGAGAACACACCCAGACCAATGATAGCCAAGTAAGGCGAATATCCATTTCAGGCAGAGAGAACAGCCAGTGCAAAGGCCAGGCGGCAAGAAGCAACTCAGCATATAATTGGGAAGGGCAGAAGAATGCACAAGTCTGGATGGTAAAATGTGTCATTCATGGCTGGGAGAAACGAGCTTATAGATGTGAGTATGCAGAAGAGCACAGACTAAAGATGCACCCTTCGTTTGACCAATGTAGACTAAGCACCTACTGCGTGCTAGATGCTGGCTTACGCTGTGAGCTAGACCAGCAAGAGTGCCTGCCTACACAGTCTGGTGCACTGTACTCAGCCAAGGATAATCTCACTCTCTCCTCTCCATGAGACATCTGGCAATTTCCAGAGATGGATGCATGGTTGTCACATCTGCGGGTATGAAGCTGAAACCTGGAGGGAAGGGGTCAAGGATGTTGCCTATGGTGCACAGGGCAGCCCCTCTGACCAAAAGCCATCAAGCTCAAATATTAACAGCACGGAGGCTGAGAAATTCTGATCCATTCATAAAACCCACAAATAAAGAATTGGAAATTATGGTGATATTTCTAAAGGCAACAAGATGCTGGAATAGGCAAAAATGGGTGGGTGGGCAGGGTGTAGTCTGAAAAATGCAGGTTACACAGGTGTGCAAGATCTCCATGAAGAAGTGACATTTAAACTGAGAACACAAGTAAAAGGATGTCATTGGAGAGGAGAATTCCAACAATAAGAGAGAGGTACAAAAGTGCTGTAGAGTGGAGACCAAGGAGGAGAGCCTCGAGGAAGGAAAGGTGTTCTGAACATCGAGGCGAGATGCAGCCAGCATCCGAGGGCGCGGGGCCTCTTCGCTTGTGGGTAAGAGTGAAGGGTTTTTTGTTGTCTGTTTGTTTTGGTGGTTTTTTTTTCTTTTTACCAGGGATTGAACTCACAGCTTCACGCTTATGGGGCAGGTTCTTACACTAGTGAACTAAACCCCAGCCCAGGAGTGCAGGTTTTAAAAATCAGTTTTCTGTCACTGACAAAACAATAAAATCAATTTAACCAACTGTGATCTTTCATATTTGACTATTTCTATAGAAAGAACAAAACAAAATCCTTTTCCAAAAGGAAGCAGTGACCTGTCATAAACAGATGAAAATGTCTCCTTCAAAAGTGATGTCTGAAAAACCAATCTGAAAAAGGACCTTCAGTCTTCTGAGAAGAAATAGCACTGAATGACCAGTTGTCCATCAGGAGAGTTACTCCAACACAATGCCCTCCACAGAGACAGCCAAATTCCTGACTGCTGTTTAAACTGTCTCTTCTACAAAGTTACTAAAATACAGCAAAGGGTGTATGTAAAACTATGGCGAGCATGTGAATTTTTAAAAATTCTAGTAAAAGCCTCGCTGTCATCGATCCCCCTTAATATCTCTGCCACACTTGAAACACTTATCCTATTGCTGATGTCACTTGTTAAAGCGTAAAGGAAGTCCTCTTTCATGAGTGTCTGTAGCTGCCCTGTCAAGGCTGCCTCAATGTCCAGAATCAATTCATGGTCACAGTGACTTTAGGGTAGAACCAGCTGTCACACAGTAGCAAAACTAGGGAGCAAGGCAGATGAGGACACGCTGTAGTGTTTTTAATTGTAGAAACTGCTTTACATGCTCTGAATCAATTCAGGGAATCAAGGCTGCCACAATAGACAAACGAAAGACCCTCACAAAGGAGGACTTCCAAAACTGCTTCAGACAGTGACAAGAACAACACAAGAGGGAGGACTTTAAGGGGGATTAACAGCAATAAGGCTTTTATCATAATAAATTCAATTTACACATTTGCTGTATTATTTGATCACATTGCATACATAAGAATACGCAATTGCATAAGGAATGAGACCCATTAGAATTGGTATTGGCACGGTTGAGGGTGAGGCCTACCAAGAAGAAGAGGCTATATAACAATGACATGACCAAAACAGGGAGCTGGAAGGTGCCACAGTTCTCCCAGGAACCAGACCTCTGCTGTCCCCTCTGGGGAGGAGGCCCATCCCACATGTGGTACCAATCACCTAGCCTGGGACCTCAAGAACACTGCTCCTCCACAGCCTTGGCCCACAGGGCCACAGGTCCTTCACCACCTTCATACCTTAAAATCCATTGTGATGCCCTGAAGCTGAAATCTCCTGTCCAGGTCCAGCTGCAAAGAGACAGGGCTCACATCTGCAAGGATAAAGGTAGAAGCTTTAGGCCAAAGGTAAGACCCCACTGTCGCGGTCCTGCAGACAGCTCTGGACCGATTCACCCTATGAAGCCTGAAACTCTCCAACCTTGATGCCCTAAGTTCCCTAAGAGAGTAGTGGACCAGTACATTTCTTCTTAGGTGATCTGTTAAACATTCTTATCTGTTTTTGCCATATTTTCTTCCCACTATCACTGGATGCCTCTAACACCTGAAGGAGGTCAACTCGTATTTCTTGACACAGATCTGTTCCTAAAGCTCAATTCCTTCCACAAACCACCCATCAAAAGTAAGTAAAAGTAAGTGAAGTAAAGGAAGGCCTCTCTCCTCTCACCCTTCCCTTGGCCCCCACAGACTTCTCTGCCTACAGCCTCAACAGACCCCAAATATGAGGCTGGGAGGTTCCCTCTGTTGCCCTTCCACATCCCACTACTACATGCTGGGAAACCCCCGAGTTCCTCAGCAGCTGCATCCCCCACATTCCATGGAATGCCCCAGGCTTGGGCTCCTGTAGGTGGCGGTCCTCACCATTCTGCGACTGCCACCAGCGTGTGGGGCCTGAGGAGGAAGCCACGTTCTCCACTCGGTGGCTGTTGTAATTGTGAGGCAGCCGGGAGTCACACTTGCAGCATTTCATCTGCCACTGCAGGGAGGAAGACAAGAGAGTCAGGGCAAGGCCCTCACAGGTGTCCCACTGTGTCCTGAGATGTCTGACCCTCAGGCACAGCTTCGTAACACCCTTGGAAAGATGCCCCTCTTAAACCAGGGCTATTGGCCATCTTTTAGTGTAACTTCTCTGTGTCCCTCCTACACATAGCAAAGGAATAGTTAATAGCTATTTACTATTTATCTATTGTGGAACAAGCGATGGTGGCAGGAAAGTCACCTTAGCAAATGCGACTGCCTTGAGGTGAAAAGAATGGAAGATGCTAAGGGCAAGAAAAACAAGGGGGAGAAACCTACGTTCACTGATCACCCACTACCTGTGACACACCAGTCAGAGAGTTTTATATGTTGCTTCATTACTCCCAGCAGCCTGGAGAATACTGGGGTTTTGAGGTTCAAGGAGAGAGGACAACCAAACAAGACAAGGACATTGAGTGCTCCAGCACTAGCTGCGTCACCCCATCTCCTAGGGTCAGAATTTTCTTCTATAAACCGAGTAAGGGCTGGACAGAGTCATGCATTCACCCTACAGCAATGCTTGCTGGACATGTGCTGTGTGACAGACATGCTCTGGCACTAGAGCTGAATGGTGGATGAAATAGAGCCCCAGCCCTCAGGGAACCGACATATGATGAATGAGAGAGATGTCTGTGAGGCTTCCAGCTCGGACTCCACCTGGAACCTCATAGTCTTTCAGGAACCAGGGCCACAGAAGAGGTGCAGCCTTCCCAGGGTGGTCCCGGGCACACAGTGAGTAAGCCACCCCTTCCCTGGCCTGTGCCCGTGCCTTGCAGTGAGGTAGGCTCTCAACTGGAACGGTGACCTCTGTGGCAACACAAAATCACCAGAAAAGGAGCACAACAGAGAAGCCTCCCGCCCCTTGTTCTTTAAGTTTATGCCTATGAATACATACCCACACACCCCAACACACACATGCACGTGTGCACGTGCCAGGCACATGTAAATTGAGTAAAAAATGACTCTGGTCTTGCATCTCTGTTCTCCACATATAACATCTGTTTCCTCCAAGTAACCCTGATGCTGAGCTCTGTGCTCAGAACACAACAGACACAGACATGACTGAAAGCACAGCTTTGACAAGAACTCCCTGACCTCCTGGTGCCTTTGGGGTAGGGACAACTGGACCGCCACACAACCAGGCCTCTTAACATCAAGGTGCGATGTGTTAGCTGGGCTGACATCCCAGAATGCATGGGCACCCTTAATGGAGTAGATGAACCCAAAAGCTCAGCTCCAAAGAGACTGAGTGAATGTCCTAGAAGCAAATTGCCCCTTTGCAGAGCAGGGGAGAGCCAGGCAGAGAACCCAAGGGAGCCAGGAACGCTGCTCACACCAGTCTACAAAGGAGAATTGTCACTCTTCCTGATACTTGCAGGCATGCTTATCATGTCCAAAAATGCCTTATCAAACACTAGTTCTTATTATGCGCTGCTTAATGCTCAGAAAAGAGCTCTGCGCTGTATAAACTAGAGCCCACTGCCCACCTGCCTCCTTCCCCATCCCTGTCCCTGGCCATTCACCTGCCAGCTATAATTTTCTTCATAGTGGTTTCTCTCCTTGACATATTGTGCATTTATTGTCTATTTGTCTGTGTATTATGTGCCTCCCCCTGCTAGAATGTGCACTGAACGAAGGCAGGAGCTCATCTCCCTTCACCGCTGTATTCTGGTGCCTGGAGCTGAATACTACTCTGCTGCAAAGAAAGATAAACTGGAGGCATCTGCAGGCAAGTGGAAGCACCTCAAGGCCACAATATTAAGTGAAATAAGCCAGATACACAAGCTTAAGTGTTGCATGGTTTCTCTTATATGAGAAACAGAAGACCAGACATAAGATTTTTTTTGAAATGGCTGGAAGAAGTGACTAAGTGGGAAGAAAGGGAAGGGAAGGGGATGAAAAAAAAGAGAACTGAAGAAAAAAATAATTAAAACAGCTTTTTTAAGTGAAAAGGGGACCAAGAGTTGGAAGGCATAGGGAGAGGGGAGGAGACAAAAAAGAATTAGGATGTGTCATGCATGCGCACAGACTCCTCACTGTAAATGTAATCATCATGTACTGCAAACAGGTACTTACAAAGGAAAAAAGAAAAGTGCCTAGCACATAATACTCACTAAATATCTGTTGAGTAAATGAATGAATGGTAACTGTTCAAAACTGCCACCTATTTTCATTAACATATAACTTGACATTCATGACCTACACATGGGGAGTTTTTAAAGCAGGAGTGAAGGGTGAGGAGGAGCCAGCATCCATACTAAGCGACAGAGTACCTGCTGTGTTCCAGGTACCATGTCAGGAAACTTCAACACAATAACCTGTTTATAGTTCACAATCACATTATGTGGTAAGAAGTATTCATCTTACTTTACAGAGGAGAGGCCTGAGGCTCAAAGAGGTGGCGGGACTTTCCTATGGGCTGATCACCAATGTCGACACCAGAGTGGGCCCTTGCCCACCGCCCTCTCCCATCTCCCGGTGTCTGTCTCTCTGTGTCCAGGTGTCTTTCCCAGCCCCATCTCTGCCCCACCTCCTTCCATCTTATCCTCTCATTTCTGCTCAGACATCAGCTGATGGGCAAACCTCCTAGGAAGCATGGTAGAAAGCAATCATCTTGCCCAGCAGGGCTCCAGGCAGGCTTATTCAGGCTCCGAAGCTAATCATGGGGTGGCTAAGGCAGACAGAGCACTTTGGAGGAAATCTGGCTTCCCTGGCTAACCCAGCCCAGTTACACACCAAATATAGAGGCGGCACTGGCTGAAACACTTAAGCATTTAACATGATCCTTTCTGGGCGAGAGAAAGCTCTTGCTGGAGTCTTACTCCCATCTAGGGCCCTGTTCTCGTCCTTGGCAGTGGATGGGCCCTTCTCTGCACTCTGCCCAGCCTCTCCAGGGCAAAGTTTTCCATTCCTCATCCTGTCCGCACTCAGCACATGTCTGAGTCGAGACGAGGGCCAGCTGCCTTCTAGGGACGCATTGTTGCCAGAGGTCCCTGCCCTACCCCTGCGCTGCTGGGAACCAATCCCAGGTCTCCCTAGCTGGGAGACTGGAAGAAGCAAGGCTCTTTCTTCCCCTGGGTCAAGGGGACCAGGGTAGAGGCTGTGGAAATATCCTTGATACTCGCAAACTCTGTAACTACTAAATATACTTTAGAGAAAAAATTTACTTGCACCGGAAATGATCACATTATAATATTTTAGGGGGGGAAAGTCAGGCATAAGCTTGTATACACATTAGAGTCTCAAATACATACAGTATTTTTTTTTTTTTGTCTTTTTGAGACAGGGTCTCACTATAACTGGCCTTGAGCTCACTTTGTAGCTCAGGCTAGTCTCAAACTCAGAATGATCTCCCTGCCTCAGCCTTCTGAGTACTGGGATTACAGGCACGTGCCACCATGCCCAGTTTACTTACAGAATATTAAAGGAACAGAAATATTTGGGAGGAAATACACCAACATATTACGTAAAATCATGTTAAACTGCTGATATTTACCTACGTCAGCCTCCAAACGTGGCAGCTACATATAGTTTCATCTAATTCTCTCTGGGCAGTAGAATATTAAGTGGGGATTTTTCTTTCTTTGTTATCTTTTAATATGCTTAAGTTTTTCTATCACAGGCACACGTTAAGTTTCATATTCAGGATAATACAACAAAATAAACCAAAGAGGCCCAGGATGTTTGCTTGGGCTTGGTACCTGCCTTGTGTCAGTTTTTGCAGTATCTAAGAGGGCTCTCCACACTTCCTCCACCCTCTGATGATATGCACAGCCACTGCTGGCTAGATCACATGGCTGTGCAGGCTTGAGAACTACGTGCTGCTTATCATAGTAATGCAGACACAGGACAGATTTGGCTCGAGCCTCGCAGGCAGGCTAAACCAACAGGCATGAACCAGATATTTTAAGTAGCTCAGCTAGCCAGCAGGCAGAGGTCTGAAACAGAGTGGCTATGGCAGAAGCCCATGAAAAGACAATCTGCACATGTCTTTTTTCCCTCTGGGCCTCAGTTTCCCTCTCTAACTTATTCTCATATGTTTACTGTAGCATGTGTACAAGTGCATTGTGTGCATCTGTCTGGGTCTCAGAGTGAGGCTCCTTCTCCCACCTGTAAGCATGCCTCTACCACACTCCATGAGAGTTCTCACTGCACTGCTGCTGCTTGGGGCGTGTCAGCCAGCACTTTCCAGCCTCTGCTGTCTCCGAGACGCAGCATGATCATCAGTGCAGCCGGTCCAGCCCCCAGCTGGAAAGACTGGGCCTTCTCCTATCTACCATAGCTTTCTAGATGCTTCTGGCCTGAAGACAAATCCCACCAGTGAGCAAGGGGCAGGCAGAGGCGTGGGCAAACGCCAGCAGGAGCCTAAATCACAGCAGAGGGCTGGAAAAAGAAGACACATGCAAATGGAAGTTTTGCATCTCTACAAAACATAGACCTTGTTCTGGAGGAAAGAGGAAAATGGGCCTGGTTATATGTGTGGCACTGTTCCCTCCCAGGAGTAAGCTAGGGGCTGCCTATGTCCATCCAGGAAGCTATGGCAGGGGTCACAACTACTGGCCAGGGCCAAGAGAAGGAAGAACCAAAACCAACCAACAAATAAATGATCTAGCCACCTTCATGAAAAGATACTTCTCCACATCCTCTTCCTCAAGGATAAAACTCAGGGTTGATGAGACAATGAGGTACCATCTTGCTCTAACATACTATTAAAATTCTCTCCATCCAGCTTACCAGCCCAGAAGTTAAAAGCACTCACTTCAAAATCACTTGGCACCAGTGTCTCTCTTGAGTACTGGGTTTCATCCTTCGCAAATCCCTGGCAGGTATATGTTTTTTTTTTTTTTTTTTTTTGGTACCAGGGATTGAACTCATGACCTAGCGCTTGGCAGGCAGGCACTTATGCCACTGAGCTAAATCCCTAGCCCAGGTATATTAGCTTTACAAAGAGTAAATATC